TGTACGACCCTCTCATGGCCTGGATATGATGCGGCTTGTAATGCAGTGTTATACTGTCCTCCTCGGATATTGACATCGGCCCCTGCGTCTAGCAGAATCTGTACGACCCTCTCATAGCCTCGATATGATGCGGCTTGTAATGCAGTATTATAGTGTCCTCCTTGAGTATTGAGATGCGCCCCTACATTTAGTAGTATCCGCACCACATTCTCATGGCCTGAAGATGATGCGGCTTGTAATGCAGTGTTATCGAATGCGGCTTGAGTATTAACGTGCGCCCCTGCATTTAGTAGAATCTGCACCACATTCTCATGGCCTGAACATAATGCGGCTTGTAATGCAGTGCCACGGGGTCCTCCTCGGGCATTGACGTGCGCCCCTGCATTAAGTAGCATCCGCACTACATTCTCATGGCCTGAATATACTGCGGCTTGTAATGCAGTGTTATATCGTCCACCTTGAGCATTGACATCGTTTGTTCGTAGCAATGTATCCTTAGTGACCTTGGACAATCCGACGGAAGCCGCGTAGTACAATGGTTGGGCTATATCAGTTGATTTAAGAGATGGGTCAAAATGGATCCATGGATAATCAGGGTCGCAGAGCCGCACCCATAACAACAAGGCCCCAGTTTCCACGGTTAACAGACTTGATGCGAGGTCAAACACTGTACGGCCATCTTCTTCATCGATCTCTTGTGCATGCCGCCACCAATGCTCTGCGGCATACCGAGCCAGTGGATGCTGAGCCACTACTTTCCTAGTCAGAGGTCCCTCGTCAGCCAGGTACAATAGGTAGCGCAGACACCCTTCGGAAATCAGGCTGTGACAAACTGTGGTCTGGAAATCCGAGCGAAGCGCACTTCGGTCCGAAAGGAGATATTCTTTCACAGAGAAGTGAGCTAACTGAATCTGCGTTGTTTGGCCTTCAATGATGATAGTGTTGCCACTGCCGTCATCAAAAATGACAGCATTGCAGCTGATTAAACTGGAGCATACAACCATAACATCGGCGGGGTCGGGAAGACGGTCCTCTGGGAAGAAGCCTCCATCTTCTCCGTCCTCAATGGCAAGAATTTCCACTATTTCGGCCGTATTCAGAGGACGCATGGAGTAGCACAACCATTGCAATACCTTGATCGCATCACGAAGGTGGCCCCTCGATTCCAGATCTTGTAATATTCGGTCGTACGTTTCATCCAGTGTCTTGGGCAAGGTTGATAGTGCTTCTCTGAGCGCTCTCAGCTTGATACATTGTCGAATCGATTCCAGCTGGCAGTACACCCATCGAAACCTGGTCTATCGTCAATACTCGAGACATTTCACACAGCAGACATGTACATACATGCCATTGGCCTTCTCCATCATCACAGTGATGATTTCGGCCTTGACCACCTCAGGCCATATTGTCAGCTTGGGGTCTGTGGCTAGCCGATCCCGAACGTAGACCTCGATGTCCTCGTCCACAACAGCCCTCTGGATGTCGATGTTGTAGTTCGAGATCGGTCTTAGGTGGTCTTCGATATCTTTCTCACGACGACTTGTGGCCATTACGCGAAGCCCGGTTAGCTTTGAGTTAACTAAATCGCAGAGAAATGTCAAGAGATCTTCCCGATCGGTACATTCATCCAGCGCATCCAAGACAATGTACTTAGATCCCATTCGTTCCATCGTGCTCTGGAGAAGTGATTGGATTGCATCGTCAGACGGCTGTCCACTTGTACACTTTTGACGTAGCTGCTCCAGGCCCTGTAGACCGTCACCTGATTGTTGTGCCAACTGGAACAATAGTGATCGAATCGCCATTCTTGACGACTGCTTCTCAGAATCATTGAAGTCGAAATAGAAGTAGACAACTGCTATGCCCGGCTGAGAGGCCTGGTGCTGGATTAGGCTTTGCAATGCCGCCGCGCTGATCGACTGGTCAGCATCATGCTTTTGTGGGGAACGAGTCCTTCGCTAAGGCGACTCACCTCAAGATTGTCTTGCCACAACCCGCTGACAAGCTCTGTTAGTCCCAGTGGTCACCTGTGGTTGTCCAACACTTACCATTGCCGTGCAACCACATCAGGGAAGATTGTGAGCTTTTCCAACTATCGAAGTGAGTTCCGTTTACTAACCACAATCCAGTCTCTGGGTGTCGCTTCTTGAGAGCAGCGTGATAATTCGTTGACGGGTCTGGGACGCCCAACCATTGCAACAATCGATGCTGCAACTCTTCTGTTCTTCGATCAGCCCCTGCTCGTTTACCTCACCAAAATGAGATGATGGCCTCGCTCACGATCAGCATGGGATTGCAGCCGCTCGGTACGTATATTAAGCTGCTCCATCTGGTTTCCCAAATTCCCCACGTCACCGTGGATAGCTTGAGTTAGTGTGCTTGTCATATCAGCGACATCTCAGCTCAAGCCTGGTTTTGTACTCACAATAGATCCTCAGTCAAGGCACATTGGATCAGCGACTTGACCCGCTCCATCCTCTTCAAAGCATCATCTACTTCCGACTTGGTGAACTTCCACATCAGTGCCGATTTGACCTGATCTCTTTTCCTTGACGATGATATCTGTTCCACCATCTTCTCAAGAATATCTTTGAACTGGTCGAGTGGCCCGTTCTCCCTCCCTAGTAGCTTCACTTGGTTCAGCCATGGATCGCTAGACCGTGCTTCCTCCACTCGGAAGCGCAGGCGGGTCAGGAGTCCGTAAAGACTGCTTGCCTCTACCGCCACCTTCGCCTGCTCTCTCGTGGCATGTCGTACGTCATTGACGTAGACCATCAGCTTCGTCGTCAGCTCGAGGATCGTAATGATGCTGGCCGTGATCGAGAGAGGGTCCATCGCGCCCAATATCGGATCGGATAAGGCTGTCGTGAAGTCTCTGTTGTCTAGCTAAAAGTCTAGGAAAGGGAGAGGGGGGAGGGAGAGAGAGAGTGTGTGTGTTTTGGGATCTGCCTATGTTGCAAGATGCCAGGGTCCTGCCTTGTGTTGTAGTTGCAGCCGTTCCTTCGCAGGATCGGCCCTACAAAGACAATCACAGATGGATATTCGTCGGTCGATGAATCAAATACTCAATAGCTTGCTCAGTCGTCTAGTTACAAAAGGACGGGAATTCATCATTGAACTGCGACATAGATGAGGCTGACTCGTTAAAACTGCCTTGCATCAGGCTACAAGAAGTGCGCCTGCAGTCCTCGAAGGCGGCTCTAAGAATAATCATACTTGGACCAATTGCTGAGATCTTCTACGTGGTTACGGTGTGTCAACCCCTGTCGGAGGATAAATTCACATGTCACGCACACAGGGTATTGGGCACTAGTCATTTGACTTAGCGCCGACAGCATATGTCTTTCTTGGGAGTGAGGCAGAGAGGTCCGTCATCTAAAATACCTTATGATAGATGCTATGATGATACTAGGTAGCTCGCATGGCCCATGAGGACAAGGCAAGGGAAGAGAAAACAATTCCTTTTCTTTCCTGTTCTTTTCCATTCCCTCTTTTCTTTTTATCGTCGTTGTTGTTTCGCTTGAACGCAGCAAAAGTGAAATCAATGCAAGTCAATGCAAAGCCAGGCAAATCCAATCCAAGAACAAAGAAGAATAAGTCAAGACGGGACAAGACGAGAGGGGACGAGATAGGGAGGCATTGGAGGATAGAGGTAGAGGTAGAGATGAATATCACTACCATCGTCACCACTGACCTGACCACTAACACCATCCTCACTCATCATCATAGCTCTCTTGTTCGTGCCACATCCTCCATCTCCCCTCTCGTATCCTCCTATCCCACCATCGACAACTTCAACGGCACAACCCAATCAACCCCAAAATCCACACCATGTTTCCTTCTTGAACCATGTTTCTGCCAGGCCGCCGTTGAAATACCAATATCCAACACCCAAACCTGCCACGTCGACTCCACGCCATCCATGGCCATCGCCGCCAATAAGCCCGTCTTTGGGGCCCCTAGACTCAAAATATATCGACTTGCCATCACTAAACTCTGCCCATCCATTTCCGTCAACAACCCCGACGTCGCCGACAATCCGCAAGGCACATCAATCGAAACAATTGGAGCAGTCCGATTCGCCCATCTTGTCATTTCCAGTACTGTAGCTTGATCATCAGTCCTTAATTCCTCAAACGTGACATGCACGCCGAGCACAGCGTCGACAATCATATCCGGACTGGGTCCGCCAGCCGTGAGTTTCGCTTGGTATTCGTCCCAGCGATCAACGTAGCCGGAACCTTTTTTGTAGATGGTTAATTGTTTTCGCACGATTTCAAATAACAATTCTTCTCGTTCGCCGCCGAGGATCACGATGGTGACTCGTAGACGTCGGTTTCGTAGATGTCGTGCGGCGGCGATGGCACGGGCGCCTGATTTGTGGTTTCCAACGAGAAACACCACGTTGCGGACGTCGGGGAGTTTGAGGATTGCGGCTGCGATGCTTCGTCCGGCGTTTTCAGATAGCATGTCTTCGGTGAGGCCGAGTTCGGATATACAGAGTTGTTCTAGTTCGAGCATTTGTAAGGGTGAAAGTGAGTGGCATGGTTTATTGTTGTGACCTAATCGGAAACATGCCCTTGGTCCTGTGACGGCTCCGTTGATGGGGGATGCTGTGTGCAGGCCGGCCAGTGGACGAGGTGATTCGGTTCGTTCTAGATGTGCAGGTAAAACGCTCCCTTTGCGAGATGCTAGTGGCCGTCTCGATCCGGCTCGTCGTGATCCTCTGCCGCTGGAATAGTGCCCTTCGAGTGTGTCGTCCTCAGTCTCGCCCGCTTCGCTCTTCCATCGATCTTTGTCGTTGTTGATCGAGGGTGTATCTAGTACATTCTCCGTGTAATGTAGATTGCGTCCGCCGTTGGTTCCAGGCCGTGCTTGTCGGTTGAAACTCACTAGTCGGTCGCCTTCGGGTATGTTATCGTCTTTTCGAATATCGTCAAACACTCGTCGTTTGTCGAATTTGGACAGGTTCGTCTCAAAGTCAAAGTCGCCCAGATCTTGGATATCGGTCGCATCCTCGGTCGCCCATCCATTTTGATCCTCCACTACCTTGCGCCCTCTCTGGCTCTTTTTCTGGACTGCTGGCCTCGGCACTTCTTCAATCAATGGGGTCGATCGCCATCCTTTTCCTTTGCCGGGCTTTTTCGCCGGCTTCAACGGAGCATGATTCACGTCCTTCATGTCGATGATACCTGGTCCGGTTTGCGATGGAGCCAACGAAGTAGCATGGACGTTTGAACCTCCTTGCTTTCCCTTAGCGACCTCGTGCCTCGCGGGGGTAGGTGCTCCGCCCTGGCTCATATTCAACGCATCAAACGGTTCTGTCAGTGTCGCAGCAGCCGAACCTCTCTTGGCCGGTTTACGAGGCAATGCTGTGGCAATACTGGACACGGAGCTGCTACCAACGGTCTGTTTGCGCGGAACATTCAAAGACGGGCTACTAACGGCGCCGTCTGCGATCATGATGGGGGAGATCGGAGGAAATGAGTGCGGAGAGGGGTTCGTTAGGGAGTTCTGTCTCGTGCCTGAAGGCGGTCTTGCGTAGCTGATGATGGCCGGGTCGACAAAGGCGGCGGCATTCGACGGTGGGGGAGGGACATTGTCATGATGTGTGGCTGCCACAGGGGTCTTTAATTCCTCCTCTTGAGCTCTACTGGGTTGAGAAGGGGACACTTCGAGGTCGGAAATGGCAGAGGACTCGAGGACATAAGAGGCTAGACGTTGTCCGTTCCAGAGCAAGAGTACTGGTACAATGTTAGCATGACAGAGAATCATAGAGGCGAGGCCGAAGGGGGACTTTGGTATTTCCTTACCGTCACGTAGAAACAATTTCTGATCCAAGACATTGGCCACTACGCCCTGAATTTGAGCATTGGGAGGATATTGTAGTGTGATCAGGATCGTATACCCGATGAATGCGTCGGCCATGGTGAGAGAGAAGCCCAGAAGGCCCAGGTTCAAAGGTTGAGGCGCAGAGGTTTATCGAGTGGTTCATGCAGTGTGTGGTTGATCGACGCGGGGTTGAAGAGGATGAAGGGTTAGAAGGATGAATGTATGCTGCGAGGTACAATGTGTTGTGAAACAGAGGATCTGAGGATGTCTGCGATGTGATGAGATGTAATGTGTCGTTGGTTGGGGTGGAAAAGTTGGTTGAGTCTTGATTGATGATTCCCCAGATTTTTTCCAGAAGCGGATGAATCTCGAATCTCGAATTTCGAATCTCGCTCGAATCTGATCGATGCGATGATCTGCGCATCTAAACAACGGACATGCAAGACTTAATTTTAGTAGCAATTAGTCCCGACGATTAGGTATATTACTATTGTACCATAGAATATTCCATCTATTATTAGAGTGCTAGATTGTCTATAGATTCACGTGTTTCTTCTACAAGACTTCATCCTCCAGATTATTGTCTGCAATGACCATCTTGATCTCGACAACAGCAATAACCATTCATATGCCGACTTCTAATCCTACAGCTCTAATGCCTAGTGTCTTGTACAACACTTCGATCCATCACCACTCGGCTCCCTCTCAATCATGCTCGCGAAGCCCTCAATGCCTCTTGCTCGGCAGCCAAAATCTCCTCGTACGACAAATCATCGTCATCAAAGTCATCAACAACCACTGCTTGGGATGCCTGTTTCCCACTCCGAGCCACCGTCGTCACACTGGGTTTGCGTGCTAACAATGTCTCATGCCCACTAAGCTTCGAGTAAAAGTGTAGGACTCGGCTGTGCACCATGACCTTGCGTTCGTCAAACCCTAATACTTGTAATCCCTCTTTTGAAGTGGCTCTGCTCAATGCGACATATGCCTGACCCTTCTCAAACACCTTCCTCAAGTCCACTTTGACTCGATTAAGTGTTTGTCCTTGAGCCTTGTGGATCGACAACGCCCATGCCAGGATCAAAGGCACCTGGACTCGTTTGGCAAGCACCTCACCATTTTGTGCCTCTGTCTTCCATTCGTCGGGTGTACAGAGAACTGCTCGAGAAGTGCCGTCTGGCAGATTGAACCTGACCATTGGCCAAGTTCGAGTCGTCCCTGGGGCTCCAAGTTTCGACCGTGCTGCTTTAATCTTCTCCTGCGCTGCCGCCCGATCGGCCTCGGACGTGCCTTCGTCTTGAGCCAGGAGAAAAGTCGGCTCATCGTCGCGGTAGGTGAAGAAGGTCCCCTCGTCCATGAATGATTGAACAATGCCCAGAGATCCATTCACGAGTTGAGTGTCAATGTTCTTGATCAGCATCACTTGAGAACCCTTCTTGAGTTCGAGTGTTGAGGGGGCAATGAAATTCGATAAGAGGCCCTGTCGCATCTTGAGATCCAACACACCTGAGTCGACCGCATCGTACGTCATGACTTGACCCGACAGCTTGCGCATCCGATTCTGGTTCGCATTTTCGACTTCTTCACGACGAGGATATCTAGAGATTGTTAGGGAGAACAGTGCGAGGACCGGGGATTAGGGCTCACAGTTCAGTAGCTTCTAGTTCATCCTGAAAGTTCAACGGTCGAGACAGCTTCTTGAACTCTCTGATCGTCTCAGCACTCATCTTGCCTAGTCGCATTTCATTCAACATGGTTGCAAATTGCTCATCTTTCTGTCGAAAGACGTGAGTTAAAAGAATGGTGTGCTGAATGCACGTGTTCCATGTGACTGCGTCGAATACGAACTTGGCTTCGGTATTGCGGTCTGGTACAGGTGGGAGCTGGAAAAAGTCGCCAGTGAAGATGAGCTGGATCCCACCAAACGGTCGACCATTATTCCTGAGAGTTCGCGCGATCTGTTCCAGTTTATCAAACAAGAGCCCGTCCACCATTGAGATCTCATCGATGATCAGGACTTTAGTTCTCAACCATCTCTGCCGAGATTTCGTGTTTCGCTTGATCTTTTTGACCAATTCTGGTGCTGGCTCCTTGCCTAAGCCGATCCCAGACCAGCTGTGAAGTGTTTGACCCTCAAGAATACAAGATGCCAATCCTGTCGATGCCGTAATAGCTATTCGATCGGGTTCCGTTCTGTACTTGTGTTTGAGCTGGGCTATGATGGCTCTCATTAGAACCGATTTACCAGTACCGGCCGAGCCTGTGAAGAAGACACTTTTTCCTTCATCCATGACGGCCCTGACAACTGCTCTTTGTTCATCACTGAGGAACGCATCAGCCAGTCTTGGATTGGCAGTCTTTTGCGCATCTGTGGCTTGTAAAAATGATTTGACTGATTTGTCCATCCTAGACATGGACGTGGCCTTATTTGGACGTGTTGACGTGGCCTTTTCAAGCATTTCATTCATGGCCGAGCTGCCGCTGGGCTTACTCTTGGACATGACTGCCTGTGGGGGTGCCGCATATTGGTCAAATTGCCCTGTGTGTTGACGACTTTGGACACCGGTAGTTGATACAAATTCCTTCCCACCACCAACAACGTAATCTCTTTTACTCTGAGCCTTTGTCCACCCGGTGGGCGCATCTGCTGCATACCTGACGGGCTCCAACGCCGAAGACGAAAAAGAGGCTGGGAGGGTTCGTTTTTTGGTAGGCCGGAAAGCTTCCTGTGGCCGACTTGGATTCTGTTGAGGTCTGACGCTCGGAGCCTCAAAGTGGGATGGCGGAGAGGAAGACCAGGGCACTTCTGCACTGCCAGGCGGTACTTTCGAATGCTCTTTGGGTGGGTTTGGAGGTAGAGATGGATAAGATACAGGTTCCGGCTGGGGAAGACGGGGATATGCGACTTTGGTAGGCTTTTCAGGTGACGGGGAAGTGAGATCAATCATGCTCTGGCTAGAGTTCTCGTCGAAGGGTTGCTGATGTAGTGATGCAAGACTACTACTGGTGGTGCTGAGACTGCGATCGAGCTTACGTTTGGCCGGGAGGGTCGATCTATGGTTGGCGTTGATGGCTGACGCATTCGCCTGCAGAGGGGAATATTTCCTCTCCGTCAGAGGGGGCGAGGCATCCTTTCTGATGGCCCTTCCTAGCATGATTGACTTGATGAAGGTGGTGGGTGACCTCAAACCATGGATGGAAGAGCGCAGGACAAAATTGGACGCTTGTGTGTGCATGAACAGAAATTGATGGTGGTTGAAGGAAGGTGCAATGCACGATGTTGAGCAACAGGAAGGAGCACTATAGAGTGCAATGACAACGGAAGGACCACCACCTTTGCAGCGGCAGGAACGCGGTGTCTGGGATGTACCTGCCTGTCCAGCTGGCAAAGGGCAATAGGAAGGCACGGAAAGTAACAAAGTAACTCTAAGAAAGAGGAGAAATGCGACAGGTCGGCCAACACGCGTAAGAGTGGAAGACAAATTTGTCGCGTTGAGGGAAACTCTTGGCATAAATGGAGGCAGGAGGGTGGGTGACAAAACTACAACCACCAACCACAACCACCGCGGAAGACTACAATCCATCTTTGATCACCACAGCATCGAGTTGATGACAATTAGCTGATTCCATTCTCAAAAATCCGTACAGTCTGCATATTGGACAGAAGGGGTATCCAGCTGGTTACTCAATCAGTTGAGCAAGTAATCACTAACAAATTCAAGTTGATCCCATATGAATGCCCACTGCGCTGCGCTGCGCTTCCGTTTGCATCATCTAACCGCTCTCAAGCAATCCCTCATGTGCTAGGCTAGGCCTTGGCCTCGCTCAATCGCTAGATCAATTTCATGGCTCGGAAACACACAATCTGCAAAAACTTTTCATCCTTGATAGGTGGGATAATTGCTGGGATATGACTGAGGCTGATACAGACCACTTGGCCCATTTTGCCCGCGACCATAACCTCCCGCCGATGGAGGCATTTGAGGATAGGCCGATTGTGGAGACTGCGCATATGGACTTGCCAGATGATTTGAGTCCCACACCGCACGACCACCGGGACTAGGACCTATAGAAGGAGTCAATGATATACTCTCAGATCAAAGCACCACCGACATACCTTGAGGCGTGATTGGGTTGTGCGCACCATACTGGGAGAAATAAGGCGTTGCTGGATTGTATGCGCTAGGTGTCGTGGCAGAACCAAGCGATGTTTGAGGGGAATACGCATCGAACTGTCCTGTGGGAGGACGATCCTTGCCCCACTGTCACTTATTGTCAGTTACCCTCGCCATCGGTCATCCCATTCTCAGGCTCTCACTCACCGAACATTTCAACGGTCTGCCGTTGACGTTGTAGCCCGACAGTTGGCAGATGGCCATGGCGGCATTCTCATGCGTGTCCATTTTGATGAATGCGAATCCGCGGTCGGACTGGAACCGGGTTTCCACCACATAGCCAAAGTTCTGGAAGAGTGGAACCAGATCGTTTTGTGTGGTGTATGGTGTCAGATTACCCACATAGCAAGTCGTCTGCCAGCTAGGAGTCTGGTTGACCACCATATCAAATGACTGCACACCTTGCGTGGGGAAATGATGATGTCCGAACGGCGTGGTGGGGGTCATGCCCATGGCGGCCATGGCTTGCTGTTGCGAGATTGAGGGTTGGCCTTTTTGATTTGCCCAGTTGCAACGAATGGCACGGCTCCCAAGCCACTCACCATCCATGGCCGCCAGCGCCTTTTCAGCCTCGTTGCGATCACGAAAAGCCACAAACCCATAGCCTCGCGAGCGCCCGGTCTTCATGTCCCACATGACCCGTGCCTCGGAGATGGTCCCAAACGCCGAAAATGCTTGGTTGAGAACCTCGTCATTGACCTCATTACTAAGATCGCCAACGAAGATGTGAAAGTGGTTCGAGGTGTCCTCCTTGTTGGCGGTGTTGGACTGGTAAGCCCAATTGACTCGAATCTCGGCCTGGTGGACTCGGCGACCGTTGAGGGTGTTCATAGCACGGTCGGCCGCGCCGGGGTCGTCATATTCCACAAAGCCATAGTTGAAGCCCTTGGAATTGAAATTCTTATCCGGAATCACCTTGACGCTGGTGACATGGCCCGTAGTCTCGAAGATTTGTTTCAACACATCTTCGGTGACTCGAGGGTCGAGTCCACCCACGTATAGAGCCCTCTTGTTCGGTTCGGGGGCAGCCCTGCGCACCACTCCACCAGCAGAGGTAGGCGACAGAGCGGAAGCGGGAGTCACCGCTGTGGGGAGAGGATTGGTGTTGGGTGGAATTACCACCGGCGCCAAGGCGGGAGGACCCATTGACAACGAGGCGCCCGTGTGCCCGTTGCTGGCTGCGGCAGACTCGTGCCCCGGAGCGCCAGCTGCAGATGCAGCGGGAGGTTGCGAGGACGGCAGCGATGTCGGTGTGACGTTTTCTGTCATGATGTTGAATTTTGCCTTGATTGATTGATCAAGCAGGGAGAAAATAGATGCTCGCGCCAGGCGGGGATATCGGGGTGGTCGAATCCAAGTGCGTGGTCAACTGCGGGGATTGGCTGTGCACGGTGGTGCAGGTGGTCAAGTGAGATAAGCTGGATATGGATGGCGTGAGGCGGGTCGTGGTAGCGGGCGAAAAAAGAGAGGCGTGGAAAACTGAGGAGGAACGGCTAGCACGATGTGGATGAAAGCCAACCCTGCAAAGATGAAGCTGCGGCAGCAAAGGCAGCAGAAGATGACCAATGTGCGGACAAGCTGAAGGAGTAGAGGCAAGGCGGCAAGGCGGTCGCTCGAGAGGTCGCGACTGGATGGCAACTGGATGGGCGTTGGAGGCGCAGTACCGCGGAAGGCAACTCGAACAGGACGGTGGGAGGACTCGAGAGGGATCGAAAGAGATTGCAGGCGCTGGAGGTAGCAGGAGACGCTCGGAGAGGACAAGAGGACCAGAAGAGAAGAAGCAGAAGAGACAGGTCAGAATTTCGATGGTAGAATTGGTATAGTGCAAGTGGTGCTAAAGCTGCCAGTTGAAATGGAAGGCAAATGGCTCGACGTGAAATTGCTTATCCAACGCCCTTACTTGCAATGCAACAATTTAAGCGATAAGACTCAGGAGAGATGACACGACTCGAAAAAGAGACAAACCAGCAAAGGAATCGAAAGAGAAGACGATGTTGCTTGAGTCAACAGGATGAGTGGGAGAGGGAGGAAGAGGGAAGAGAAAAGAGAGTTTCTGGAGAAGCGGAAAAAAGGTTGAGATGAAAGGCGAGCGGCGGCGGCTGCGGCTGCGGCTGTGACTGCGTCTGTAGAAGTAGCAGTACCACAGTAGTAAGTATTACCAAGTAGTATCTAATCTAGATACTTAAGTACAGCTTGTAGCTTGCAGCTTAACATTCTTATTACAGAGTCAGAGAGTCTTGCTGACTGGGTTCCCAGGTTTCGGCCGGTAGCAGTCATGGGCCCTTCGGTCCTTATTGGACTCAGTGATTCATGGGCGAGGGGTGAAGCTTGGAGAGCCACATGGAGACCCAGTTCCCACTCGATGGACCTGGAAAATATCCAGGCCTTGCCTTTACACAGTGCATTGTCCATCTACAGACCTTGATGAGTCATGGCAAAGACTTCGATCCATCATCTGTTTGAATCCATCAAAGCTCACAGTCATACATACTCCGTATGCACACTCACAGACACCAATCTGGTACCGTTGACGCAAGGTTGCGGTTGCTGATGATCCCTCAGGTGTCAAATGTGCCAACGGTCCGTAGTTAAGGTAAAGTTTGACGGCTGGGCGCGTGCTCGGGCCTTGCCTAAACTGTGGATGCAGCCCGAGGGGCCTATGCAAACTTTGGATGGAGGGACATCATGGGGGCCGAGGCGCTGAGGCGGCGTCGTAGCTTCCACGCCCAGGGACACGCCACGGGTGCGATAGTTATGGCTAATGAGGGGTTTCCTTTACCTTCCAGCCAAAATGGATAGCTACATAGGTACGCTAACAACATGCACCCACCGACTTCAAGATGTCAGACAGTTGCCGTTTTCATGCTCATGTAGCGTCACGAACATATAATCGTAGGTAGCCTTAAACAAACAGATAGAGGACTCTTCAGGCTACCTATTCTGTGGCGGACTCCGCGTGTTGATCCATTGTCTTGGACTTTGGTTCGTGTTTGGCTCAACTTCCGCCAATTCTGACAGCTGAACCCATGCAATCACTACACCATCTGATTGCTGAATGGCCCCCAATTGCAGAAATATCTTCGACTATTGATTTCTTGATTGAATAGCCATCGTCATCTTTCGCCAGTCAGAACTTGCCCCTAGCCAGATTTCTCCATCATATCCGAGTATATAGCCCACAAAAAGTATGTAGGGAACTTTCCGTCTGCCCTCTGTCCCTTGATGTTTATATTATAGGGCGTTTTCACATGCCGAGGCGCCCGAGGCGCCTAGCACTCAAGCTTTCTCGCCCCTTACGGTCCAATTGTACTCCGTAGGGCTGGGGCCATTTAGGGTTCAAGCCTGCAACCCGCCTAATTTGTTACTCGATGAGCGCAATCGCCGCCTATTTTAGTTGGTCTCTTCTTAGTCAGAGGTCGACCAGCTCCAGACTCGGCCACCCAGTACTACCTGAGTCACTTGCTGCGCTGATTTTGCTTGGAATCTTCACATCAAACCCATTCATCCCATTCATTCGCCTTGCTCTCTTTCCTCTCCCATCCGCAACATCGACTCGCTATTTCTTTTCTCAAACATCTTCTCTTTCCTTCTTGTCCTCATCCTGACACCCTCGTCGATTCAACCTCATGGCGATGACCTGACTATCGCGCTCCTTCGTGTTTGTGCTGGGCGCATTTTTGTCCATATTATTGACGTGTCTACCAACCCTACTGTCACCCCTCGGACCATTTAAATGTACCAGCTGTCGCAATGGCCTCGACAAAACCCCCTTACGATCCAGTTAAGACCGTCGAAGGCATGTTCAATGGATCCGTCACCCGTATCGCCTATGCCATGAAAGACCCTCTGAATTACGCCCAATCTACGAAAGCCATTTTAGCAGAGACCGCAAAGAAGTTTCAGGATGCTCTAGACGACTGTGAAGTCCAGATCCTCGATGCCAAATGGCACCTTGAACGCCAACTGGCCCTAAACAAAGCCCGTCGCGAGGCAAAAGCAAAAGAAGAGTCCGCGGCAAATGCAAAACGAAAAAGAGACGAGTCCAAAGATCTACGAGATCCTTCACAATCGGTCGACAGAGAGAGCGCCTCCAAGCGCGTCAAAACAGATGAACCAGAGGAGCCCCTGCCCTCCGTGCAGGCCATCCAACCAACCATCCCGCCCCAAGTCGAGCCGACACCTCCCATCACTCCAGCCAGCCTCCCCCACAAGAGTCCTGTGAAGTCGGACCCGTCCAAGTCCAAAGAGCCTGACAAAGCTAAGGACAAGGGCAAGCCAAAGGCCCCCACGTCAACGCCTGTTCAGCAGCCCCCATCGAGCCAACCTGAGTCCAAGCAGAGTCAAAATGCTCCTGCAAAGGTGCCTCCCAAACAGCCCAAACCTGCAGAATCCGCTCCTCCTCCACCTCCACCACCTCCACCAGAGTCTGTCCAAACACAGTTCCCTCCGATGGAAGCCAACCTACAAGACACGCCGGCCACGGCAAACGAGGATTTCAACTTTGTCTCCATGTTTGGTGATGCTTCTGCAGGAGACCTCATGGACTCTTCGAACACTCAAATGCCGTTCAACCTTAATTTCGACGTCGATGCTGATGGCATGACTGCCGGCCAGGACCCCTCCCAGACATCCCTTCTACGTGGACTAGAGTCGTACGCAAACCAAAGTGGCGACGACAACAGCTTCAACCTTGGGGCCACGACGGAACCCTCCGATTTAAACAACATGTCTCAGTCATATCCTCAGGGTTCGGCAATGACCACCGACTTTGGTCTTCCCACTCTAGGACCCAATGAGTTCGACGATTTCCTCAACTCCAACGACATGAACTTTGACACCGCTCTTGATGATGGCATGCTGAACATGGACAACATGGACAGTATGGAGATCGACTTTGACTCCATGTTCAAATGATTTTCTTAAGAGCCTTGTGTGGAAGTGGGCAGGTTTATCTGTCTTGCTAAGTCTTCACCGGCATTGCTTACTCCTAACTGCTGTCTATGCAGCTCTTGCTCTGACTTTTATCGCGACTTCAGTAGTTGTGCGGAAGAACAGAGCGACCTGGCGACCATCTGGAGTGGGGAAACATACATCGGGGCCAATTCGGGATTGAGAATCCAAGGAGTCGTCTTTGTATCAACAGGTAAAGGGCATGCAAAGAGAGTTGGTGGTGTTTTGAACGTGATGTTTTTACGAGCGTTCGCCGGAGTTATCCCTGGGGGACGGTTTGTGGAGTTTCTTGCTCGATGAACCTTCTGGTTGAACAATATTGAGATACCCTGATACGACCATGGAATTCGGATGGTGGGAAGGGTCAATTTGGTTGTATTGTTTGTGGTGGGACGGAGATCCCCAGGACATATGTGTACAATAAAGGCCTTATATCGGTACTAAATATTCCCGGGTCGAAGCCTAAACGGCTTCACGCACACGGAAAGGGTATTTATCAGTCATGTATGCAATTTTGTCTATCAAAGACTTCGTGGCTCTTTGGTCTCATATTTGTGCAAATACTGCTGGTGACAGAATGAAGCACGTGATCGCTCGTTGCCTGCAGTTGATCACCCTGCGGCCCGCCGAAGTCAATTCCCCCGAAGTTTTCTTCCGACGCGCAGTTTCGAGGAACCGCGACTTTTCGTCGTTCGCTGTCCTCTGAAATACATCCCAAACCCAACACTTTGAGATCAGTACCACCAATAGTATTGAGCGCAAACGAGTTAAACTCATGCGGGGGTCTATTGACCCATGAGTCAAAGCACCGCGTATCTACCATAACTTGGAGCATAGAACACAAAGACGAACCTCATTTCGAACGAACGATTTGGCCGCCATGGCCAACACTGTCATGGCCGACGTCCAGGATGCCAGCTCCCAACCCTTCTCACTACGTCCACGGTTCAAGATCAGCGACCTGCCCCTAGTCAAAGAGAAACGCACGGCCATTGATGCGTTATTGCTCAAGTTTAAAAAACAAGGTGGTTACGACAGTCTGCGCAAACAAGTATGGGCCGCGTACAATACATCCGACGCCAAAATGGCTTTGACGGATTCAATCCACGCGATTGCTGAAGCAGAGATTGAAAAAGACGTGAAACTACTGAGCCGTGAAAGAGGCAAAGCTGCAACGCTGATTCAGGGCGCAGTTGACAGAAGTGGTATCTATGAGGATGTCGAAAGCAGGATCGACACGGAGATTGCCCAGCATTTATCGGCTGTCCTGGAAAGCGTACGAGAGATTCGTCGCGCCGACATTGGAGAAGAAAAAGCTGCTGAGGAAGAGGAGGCTGGCGCCAAAACAGACGAACAGTACCAGCAGGAGACGGAGACAAGGGTCAATGAAAGAGAGAAAAACAGGGCTCGGATGGAACAACTACTCAAAGAAACGGCGGAACTGAAGTTGAAGATCAAGATGGAGGAGGAGAGAAAGAGGAAGAAGGAAGAAGCGAAGAAAGAGGAGGAGGAGAGGAAGAAGAGAGAAGAAGAGGAAGCTGCGAGGAAGGCGGCCAGGGAAAAGAGACGTAAAGAAGACGAAGAGCGTGAAGCGGAGCGAATCAAAGCTCGGGACGAACGCCATCGAAAGCGTGAAGAGGAGCGAAAAGAGAGACAGGCTCGGTATGAAAGAGAGCGAGACGCTGAGAGAGACCGCGACCGAGATCGAGATCGAGACCGCGACCGAGACCGAGACCGAGACCGTCGTGATCGTGACAGGGACCGAGACAGGTCTCGCGATCGCTCACGAGACCGGCGCAGCAGAAAAGACTCTCGCGCAGAAGTGACCGAGCCGAAAAAGAGCACGGTAACTGACAAGGACCTCGAGGCTACAGCACTGGAATTACTCCTCAACGAGGGCAAACAACTGGCAGAAAAGTCAAAGGAGCGCAGAGAATATGATTTCGACAAGGCAGAAGTACAGGATTCTTCACGCAGGTCTGGATTGGACAGATTCTCAAGAAGAAGAGAGAGAGAACGATCTCGAGACAGCAATCCACGTGGTTCCGACCGACGAAGCAGATCTCGACGACGCCGATCATCCATCCAAGACAATGACAAGAAGAAGGCAGAAAGCCCAAGCCGACGCGCAGTAAGCAAAGAGCGTGAAGAAGGTGAGGCCAACAGTCGCCCCTCTTCACCTGTTCCTGCCACCAGCGCTCGAAGACCTCGTTCAGCCTCGCCAGTGGGAATCGATCGCTATGTTCCTGGAGGAGGTACTCATCGCACAGCACACGAACGAGAGCGAGATCGTGACCGGCGCCCACCGCGCGACAGTGACCGAGATCCTCCAAGAAGATTATACGACAGCCATCGAGGAGACGACCGTGATCGTGAAGGAGACCGCGACCGCGACCGCGACAGGGATCGGGACCGAGATGCAGATCGTGACAGAGACCGTGATAAAGATCGCAGTGAGCGCAGACCCCGAGATCGAGATCGAGAGAGCGAACGTGGTGACCGTGACCGCGATCGTGACCGTGATCGCGAGCGTGATCGAGATAGGGACAGGGGCGACAGATATCGAGAACGAGACCGCGACCGGAGTCGAGACAGAGATAGAGAGCGAGAGAGAGACAGAAGCCGAGCTCGTGGAGATCGTGATCGTGATCGTGATCGTGATCGTGATCGAGAGCGAGATCGTGGTGACCGTGACCGCGACCGTGACAGAGACCGTGACAGAGATCGTGACAGAGATCGTGATAGAGAGCGGGAACGCGATAGGGATCGAGACCGAGACCGAGACCGAGACCGAGATCGAAGTCCACGCCGTCGAGACGATAGAAGAGACAGCCGAAGGGACGACAAAGAAGACGACCGACGACGTGAGCGAGATCGCAGTCGAACACGTCGAGACCGAGATCCAGTTCAGATTGACCGTTATGTACCCGGACGATAGCGTCGTCAGCGGAAAAGCGGCACTCAGACGATATCGGAAGAAGCATGAAGAAGCGGAGGATACATTGGCAACCTTGATAAATCGGGTGACTGGAAACCAGCAACAATGCCAGCATTAAACAATGTGTCTGCATGTTTCCGATAACTCAGCTCAGCCTTGGATGTCGGGCGCAGATCTGGAGACAAGCCTCTCAGAATAGCTCGTTCCATGACCTTGAGACTTTGTGCATCGTCACCATTCTTCGTCCATATGGAGATATGCGTGAAGAATTGTCTTGGAGAGAAAGAAACACCCAAGACGTGATCATGCTCTGGGAGTTTCTAGATGTCAACTGGACTGCAGGGCAGATTTCAAGAAAAACGGGCATACATACGATGGGAGATGGCAGCCTGCAATTCACCGCCACAAGACAATAAACAGATTTCCTCCCACAGTCTGACAGCACGACCATTCTCCGAACGAACTCGTATCAACCAACTTCCACCATGCCGATTTTGGGGATCTTCCCACAAGGGTGTCACGCCAGAGCGGAAGATATGGATGGTATCCTTGAATTGGAGGCGATGCCACGGTAGATTGTTGAATGTGCGATAAAAAGCGGCAATATCGGCAACATGATCAATCAACATGGTCCATCGATATATGCCGTGGGACTCGGGTTTGGAATGCCATACATCCCAGACATATTGGAAGGGTAGTGGTCGGAGCTTGATGAGGACTTGTTTGTGGAGCGAAGATGAGCGGCGAGGAAGAGTTGGTCTGATTGTCCCGTCATCTTCTGACCTTGACATTGCGTCGACTGTGTCCATTGGAGTAGTTGTGGTGGTGGTGGTGACTGACGAGGACGGTATCGTCATTGTTGAGGAGGATGTCATTTTCTTTTCGTCGATCCGGCTGACCCTGACCCTGACCCTGATCCTGATCCTGTCTATCCCGCAAATGTTCTGTACCAAAGGAACGAAAGAATATACTTAGCATCAACTTCTAGTGACAATAGTGTAGAAACGAAGAAACATGTCTCTTCTCAAATTCACACAAGTACTTAAACCGAAATTAGAATTGAGGACAAGGACAGTTAACGTAACCCCAGTCTTCCAAGTGGTGGGTGCAGTCGTCATCTCGACTGCATTACACTAGATGTCTCATGTTTCTTTGCTCATCTCAATCGTTGCCGCCGAGAAGAAAGTGACGGGGATTACATGAAACATTAGATTTACATTGGGACGGGATTTACGCGCCCATGGGGGCGATAGGATGAGGGAGGTCTTGACGTACTTTGTTGGCGCTTGTTGGGGTCGAGATCTCACGGAGGATGGATGGATGGATGGATGGGTCTTGAGATGCCTACGGACGATGGATACCTAACATGCCTTTTATACATGCCTAAGTACAATTATACGAAATACGAAATATATAGTGATTATCTCTACGACAAGGCTGAGGGGAATATTATTATTCATCAAGTTAGACTATTATGGCGAGGCGGCCAATGAGGGTTAGGGTTAGGAACATGTTACACGTTTAGGCGTCTTTGGGGGAAGATCCATCGTCCAAGACTCTTCATCCAAGCCGTCTTCTTCCAACCATCCATACAACATGATGAAGTCCAGTTGTTGATGCATATGAACTACTATACATCCAATTAGTCACTAATACATCCACATCCTTCACCTGTTACCATTTATCTAGTCAGCGAGGAACCTGCTCTTCACCCTCCCCACCCAGCAACACGAGACTGGTCAAACTGGCATGTCTAGAGATTTCTCATGATAATCGCACATCAAATTTTAACTTGAACCTGCTTAACCTAGGTATTCTTAAGTTCTCCTTCCTCACTAGGAACTCTAGGATTTCGGTAGAAACATGTCACCAGATGAGGTCGAACTTGGCAATAAACGGCGAAAAACGTCAAACCCAGAGAGACCAGCAGTGAATATCCTGCATTCAACCCAAGCACAGGACGACGATGAGACGTCGTCATCAGGCACTTCATCCAGTGAGATTGAAGACATCTCAGAAGACGGTGAAGAGCAAGAGATAAGCACCCAAGACGACGATGACGATAATTCTGCCGATGACAACGACCAGCAAAACGATGACGCAGACTCAATCGAGTCACAATCCTCGAATCAATTACAGTCAGAGCTCTCTGGCACAAACGATCTCCAGACTCGATTAAAAGCATTCCTTCCACAATTACAGAAGGCCAACAACGACTTGCAAAACCCGGAGATAGCCCGACATCAGAGACTGGATCAGGTATCTGACGATGAGGAAACGTATATCGAAATGGATCTGAATCTCGGGGTCCTTGAGGAGAAAGCTCCAGGGAGGGAGGAAGATGAAGATGACATCAAGTTTGCATCCTCATCAACCCCGGATTCTCTTGACGGGGATGCAAGCCCAGAGGGTGGTCGTAAAGCTGGTGTCATGGCTCATTTAATGGGGGAACAAGAGTCAAGTCAGAAGAAGAGAAAGATTGAAGAGCTGGGATGATGAAGGTATCGATTCGTAAGGGAGAGAAATGAATTGATGCTATCCCCATCCAACAAGGCAGGCGCAACTACGCCATCACCAATGAGGGAGGAACGATCATCATATCGTGCAATCAGGAAAGAGCGCACCTGCATGTATCATCATATCAAATTCAATTGTGAAGGCGCATCCTAATCTCTTCCATGAGCCATCTCTCTTCCACCATCTCTCTTCCACCACAAGACATCCTCACGCGTAAAAGCAACCTGATACCTCCACTATCCATCGACAACAATGCTCTCCGAGGACTTCCGTCTACACCTCTGGGAAGCCATCATCCTTTGTGCCTGGATAGTTGCAGCCATTCTCGGGGCAAAGGCATTCATCTCCGAGGCAGTGTACACCGAACATCTAGCCTACCGACGTCGTAACCACAAGATATATCAAAGAACCTATATTCGCGCCGTTCGCACGATTCGGGCACAGAAGAGATACCCCTCCGACCCCCACAACCACGGTCACATTCTGCGACGGTACCAAGCACTAAGCAATCCTGCATTGAAGCCATTGCCTCACCTCAAGCATACATATGCTGAAGAGAACGCGTCTTCTTCGGCTTCGGGATATTCTGATCTCTTGGGAGCGAGATACACCCACGCTCGTGGCCTGCAGGACATTCGAACCGATTCACAACTTTCCTTGTGGCGGCATCGTTACGCACAAGCCCATGGGCAGAACCTCTTTGATACACCGATAAGCTCCAGTTTGTGATCGACATCTTCATTGACTAAGACAGATTATTGCTCGATCAATACGGAGTACTTATTTATTCATGTTGAGAGAGTGTGCATGTTCAAGTGTGCGATCTTGCAACTCGCACAAAATGCCGACTTGTCTTGGCGGCGTCATTGTTTGGAACTAACCTTTTTCAGCACAGTCCAACCAATCCGCCGCACCCGCTCCACGTCCTCCCTCTACCAATCTGTATTGTCCCACTCTCTCATGTACTATTCCCTGCGGCAGCGCTATTCAATTGTTTTACAAGAGTGCATCTTCATATTGCACGAGTCGTCCGCGGCAATGGCTCCCGCTCGCATCCTACAGCAAAACGCCAGGTCTCAGACTCCAACCGCTTCAACCGCTTCAAGTCCATCTCTGCGGTCCAAGACACCTGTCAATGTTCCAATGACACCGACCAATTTGAACCCGGGGGGAAATGTCAAAGTTGTTGTAAGAGTCAGAGGGTTTCTTCCGCGAGGTGAGTTTTACGGACATGAATTCACCGATAAACTGCTAATCATCCTCCATAGAAATCGACAAAGGCTCTCCATGCTTGATCGAAATGAACCCAGACACTCAGACCACAAAGTTACGCGTGCCTCCCTCAAATGACGCCAAACCAACAGCCCGAAAAGTTATGGAAGACAAGACCTTCACCTTTGACAACTCATTCTGGTCACACAACACTGATGATGAGCACTACGCCACTCAAGAAGATGTTTACAATTCCCTGGGTGAAGAGTTTCTGGACCACAATTTTGAAGGTTACCACACCTGCATCTTTGCATATGGCCAAACCGGATCAGGCAAAAGCTACACAATGATGGGCAAAGACGAACAAGCCGGTTTGATTCCTCGAACATGCGAAGATCTGTTCCAGCGAATTGAATCCAATGAAAGTGCCAATATCAGCTACAGCGTCAGAGTGTCATACTTTGAAGTATACAATGAGCATGTCCGCGATCTCTTCCAGCCAAGAACCGATCCTCCTCAATACCTCAAGATCCGAGAATCACCAACCGAGGGACCTTATGTCAAAGACTTGACGGAGATCCAGGTCAAGAATTATGGAGAGATCCTCAAATACATGCGAATGGGAGACAGCTCTCGGACTACTGCAGCAACCAAGATGAATGACACGTCTTCGCGCTCTCATGCCGTCTTCACCATCATGTTGAAGCAAATTCACCATGACTACAGAACTGACGAAACCACCGAGCGACTGGCACGCATTCGACTGGTCGACTTGGCCGGGTCCGAACGAGCCAAGGCCACTGAAGCCACAGGGCAACGTCTCCGTGAAGGTGGCAACATCAACAAGTCTCTGACCACGTTGGGTCGAGTCATCGCCGCTCTAGCCGACCCCAAACATTCCCGCACGAATAATTCCCATCGCAAAAATCGGGACATTGTTCCCTACCGCGACTCTATCCTCACCTGGCTGCTCAAAGACTCCCTAGGAGGAAATTCCAAGACAGCCATGATTGCGTGCATTTCTCCCACAGACTACGACGAGACACTGTCGACGCTGCGTTATGCAGATCAAGCCAAGAATATACGCACTAAAGCCATTGTCAACCAGGATCATGTGTCGTCCGCTGAAAAAGACGCACAGATCAATGAGATGCAGGAGACCATCCGGGCACTGCGCTGGACTCTAAATCAACAGCAACAGAATGGTAACGCCACTGTGATGAAGGCCATGCAAGACAGCGCGGAAGCCCAGTCTGAGAAGATCCGAGAATTCACGACCAAGTACGAAAACATGTTACAGATCATGGAGGAAAAGCTCGCCATCTCCGAGTCCAAGGTCAGACAACTCGAAGAAGAAAAGCAAGCCTTGAGCATTCACCTGAAGTTGGTTGTGGAAGAGCTCAAGAACCCCATTGTCATCAACAAGGAAGAAACAGGCCCTGTCTCGGATACTTCACGCTCGGCCACTCCCGACATGATATACGAAGACGACACCGCTTCTGGAGGAGACCCTGAGACAGAGTCAGATCTTGACGAGGAAATGGACCGAGAGGCCGAGGAGATGCAAGCTGAAATGGAAGCCTTGATTGCAGATCTGGGTATGTTCAAGAAGAAGGTGGCCGCCGATCATGAGATGTTTGGGATAGGGGTAACGGTCTAAGTGAGACGGGATCAAGGGACGCAATAGCATTCACGGTACTTTGAGACAAGAGATTGCGATTGAGGACATTATCGACTATTGATGACATGATTGGGCAAGAAGCAAGGCGTTGTGGGTGTTATTTAGGTTACTCGAGTCTAGAGCTACACCTCATGAGTCCTATGACGAGTGAGCGTGGAATTTCCGACTTGGAAAAGTAGTAGAGGAATCGTCCCATAAGTTTATTCCGTTGCCTCTTCCCCTTTGGACTTCTGCTACTCATTGATTTATACGGCACGGCCGATAGTTTGTTTCACTGGGCGGTGTCCTCCTGAACATCTTTACAAAGCGCCAAAATTAACAATTATCCGTCATGTAATAATGTATGGATCATATATTTAGTCACAAGTACTGCCAACTAGTATCCCGACATCTACTCCACATATCTGTACTGAAAATATCAAGGTGAGACTGACATACCAATCGAAGTAATGAGCATGACCCGACAGCTATCAGTCGACCCTTTACAAAGTTGACTTTGCCTCAACGACCGGCGCGACCTTAGAATCCTCCAAAGGCTGACCTTCAACCACAACCCCGTTTGAAAACTCCGCAGCATCAGCCGCACCAGGGTTAGCAAACATGCCCTGTTGGTCATATGCTTCTTCCCAACCCATCTTGCGCTCCTGCGTAGCAAAATCACCCAGCTGACACAACGACCAATACAGAACACTGCTGATGGTGCAACCCAGCACCCAACCCAAACTGTAGATATGCAACCAACCAGTCGCAATATCATGACCAAACTGGCCCGCAAAGCCAGGCACCAAAATCACCACTGTGACGATGAAACTGACCACACATCGCCACGAAGTACCATAATGATACCAATAAGCCGATCCCGGAACAGGAGTATACAGGTCCTTGGCCCAGATATTACCCTTTCGAATGACATAGTAATCCGTGATGAAAACACCACACAGCGGGGCCAGGAAAATACTGTATCCACCGAGGAAACGCAAGAATGTCGTCGAACTCTTGAGGATCTTCCATGGGAAGAGCAGGAAACTCGTGAAATAGCAGATATACATGCCACGACGGATGTTGAGGTATCGAGGAAACACGGCCGTGACATCAGCGCCAAAGGGAAACAAATTGACACCCAGGTTGGACGCGTAGATGGACAACATGAATCCCATGGACAGCAAAGCAATGCCCGTTCTGGCGCCAGCAGACCAATACCGGTCGAGGATTTCGGTGCTGAGATCCCATGGGTTCCAGACCGTGACGCCCCAGGCTTGTTGCGTGGCCGAGGTGGCGAAGATACCGAGTGCAGCGCACAGCGTGTTTCCGAATGGCAGTGCAATCAGTTGAGACCAGAACGGCGCGGTGGCCGTGCGTGCGTAGCGAGATAAATCCGTTTGGTTGACGGCTTGAGTCGAGGTTTTGCCCATGCACGAGTTGATGGCAGAGAGCATGACCCAGGCCAGAGTTGATCCGGAAAGGGGTTTGGAGGCCGTGAATCGACCCGGGTTGAAGCCGGCTTCGCGGCCTTTGACGATGCAGAATGCGAAAAGACCGATGACGACAGGGGGGAGAACGATGGATTTGATCGTGAAGAGTCGTCGCATCTTGCCCGGTGGGAGGTATAGTAATGGTGAAGTGAGGAATACGAAGAGAATCATGCCTGAAAAAGAAGGAAAAAGAAAATTAGTCGAGAAGTTTCACGGGAATTGACCCTTTCTTTTCTTTTGGGCACTTACCAACAAGTTTCTGGACAGTTATATCTGCAGAAGCTGGGAATCCAGCAGGGATATTGTGCCATTTATAGCCAAAGATGCATCGAAGAAGAATCGAGGTGAAGAATCCACCTTGAAGACATTGAACGGCATTCCAGATCAAACCGACAAGCAGACGAACTGCAATGGGGAAGAAACTGGCGTACATGCCCCAACTGACACGACATTCAACGGGGAAACCAAAATGCCATTTGGCACCGGCTCGAGAATGGAGAGAGATGGCAATGGCACCGAGAGTATGGGAGATGAAGACACAGATGATGGCTATTGAGAAGAGCGAATGTGTCAGATATAGATAGAGTAATAATAAAGGGGGAAAGCATACCTTGCCATGAGTTGAGGCCCAATGCGACCATGGAGCTACCGACACTCCACACACCAGTAGAGAATCCTGTGAATTTGAGTCAGTACTGGCTAAGGTACTCGAGAATCCAAGTATACGGCCATCCAATAATGATGACAGCTGTGATCACTTACCATATGACCACCAGAAAGCAGCATAATCATACCAACCCCAGGTCCAGCCCTTTGGAGGAGTGAGATCCAAATCTTCGTTTTTCCATATCGTTCGTTCTTCGATTCGACCATGCGCCGTCTCATCTGTTTCGATGGCTCTCTGGAAAGCTTCCCAACTCTGGAAGCTAGCCTTGATGGACTCCATCTTGGTCTGATACTTTTGCTGCACCTTTTCAAACATGGTGGGCGAGTAAGTGGGACAGGACCTGTCTGTCTCTTCTTTACTGTCTTTCTCCCTAGTAGGTAATTTTTGGGGGGGTGACTTCCAAAGACCCTTGGACCCCGTTGGCGAACTTCTTCGCAAGTCGATGGGTGTAGACACTTAGAAGATTTCTCTAAACTGAAGTCTTATTCAAGAGATCTTGAGATCGATCATCACGGCGACATGGCAACTTTTTGTGTGTTTTTTGGAAGCCCTGCCTATCTATCTACCCACTCACCCACTCCCTAACCAACCCGAATCCGCCCTCTCCAGTATGGGACATGTCTCCAAGGAAGGAGGGATCCACTTTTCCATGTGACGATCAATAGATATCCACGAGTAGTACTCGAGGATATTCATTCATCCGCTCGGCATCACCTATTCGGATTGAACTACAGATAGTGTGGCATTAACTCAAAAGGTTGTCGGGTGCCCAAATCCGCGTCTATTCTAAACCGAGGGTGTCTTTTATCATACTCGTCGAGATCCAGTAGATAAGGACCAAGATAACATATCGAACCAAACAGAGGGCTTGAAGATTCTTTTCATTCCAATCTTCTTATCGCTCTCACTGGGGGAATGGGTCTGTGAGTACCCAAGGTACGTACGGGTAGCCAATACAACTGACTCGTCACGAGAGCACGGTGATGTGGATCTCCTTTTTTTCGGTATCGGGAGGTTTCCACCTGAAAATACCCATTTTGGCGGGTATTTAAGGTTTGGTATGAGTTTCTTACGGAATTTCTTTTCCGCCAAAACCGGCAACTAAGGTGGCTAGCTAGGTACCTTACCTAGTCCTGAGGTGGTTCATGAACACTTGGCCACACACAAAGATAGATATTATCATGACCTTGTTTGAAATTAATTATCATCAAACTTGTCTTGGACGGTCTATAGTAGTTAGAAACTCCCTAGTGATAGGTTGTAGGGTTCGCTGCTCGACATTTGCCACGTTGGCCAGCACAGACCGCTGCCAAGATGGAATGGACCCGTGGGGAAAGAAACTTGTAGCCGGCCGTTGACCGGTGTTCACCCTTTGAGAAGAGAGGTTGAACTTTGTATTGTGGGAGCTGACGCCGAACATAATGATACAGTGGACTGAGAGGAGAGTTTGTCTCAGATATTTGGGTAAAGGTTATTTGTCGCGGTTGACGAGCTTGATCAGTTCTTATCCTTTGATCAGATAGAATTAAAATAAGGACTATCAGGTGTGCTGACGTTGTCTTGAATAGATACATTTCAGCCTGATCATGTGTTGACGGCATGGATAAGATACACTTTTAGTATCAGATGTTGTTGTGATTGGTTTAAGGCTGGTTTAGATAACTATCAATCTATTGGAATTGATTTATCGGTCCTTGGCTGGTTGATAGCTATAGCAAAGGGGTCCAGTCTCCTGACTTTAGGAGGACCCCCTAGAACAAAAGAACGTGTTTAGAATAGTGTCATGCTAGTGTCCTGCCGGAAGATGCCATCTTGTTGAATACTGGGGAGTGACCCCAATACGAATAGCTCATACGAGGAGAAGAACACATGGCATATGATCAGTAGCGTGTTGTGTAGTGTACTTCTGTACGTCCTACGTGGGGACTAAGGTAGGTTAAGTACCTTCCACTCATAATTGTGAAATTGCTATATTCATGAAACTAAAGGTACTATACAGTCTAAGCCGCCTTGGTTGCAGTTGCGCTGCTCTTGGACTTTGCAGCTCGTTCCTTCAAGTAATCTCCAGTGCTCATGATGGGGTATTTCATAGGATTCTCTTCGCTGACACAGGTTGGCACGGGCTCGAGTTTCTTGTCCTTGTTGAACCCAAAGAAGAAGGGGCACGAGTACCGTTCGGCACCGGTCTTGTTGACCACACGGTGCACAGTCGAGACAAAGTAGTCGTTTGTCTGTCTCATCAGGCAATCGGCAATGTTGACCACCATGGCGCCGGGGATGGGCTTAGCGTTGATCCAATAGCCGGACTTGGACAGGACCTCCAAGCCGCCGTTGTGATCTTGTGTGAGGAGTGTGAAGCATTCGAAGTCCGTGTGGGCTCCGATTCCGAGTTGATCTAGCGATGAGGCCTGTGGAGTAGAGATACATTAATTTACTGGATATCAAAATCAGAGTGAAAACGAGGATATTAGAACTAACCTCTTGTTGTGGGTAATGAGCGATACGCATAGCGGCTTCTGGTCTGTCGACATAATCATCAAAGAAGTTCTCTGGCAGATGTAGTGCCAGTGCAAAGACTCGGACCATACGTCGTGCAAGTGAGAGAAGTTTCGAGTGGTGTTCGTATAGGGCCTCCTTGAAGCCAGGGACGTCTTTTGGCCACAGTTGATCGAATTCGGTCTTTACGGCTTCCTTGTTCTTGGCCTCTTCGTCGTATTCTGGGTTGTAGCCCCAGTTGTATGCCTCCATCAAGTCTGAAGGATATTAGTCAGTACATGTAACAGTAAACGCCGTGAGTGCATGCATGGCACTGGAAGGGGTCATCGCTTCTCACCATTTAACTTCTTCTGGTTTCTGTTATATCTGGCCATGGGGAAGTAACCAAAGTAGGCTTCTGGAACCTTGTCGGTGCAGACCTCCATTTTCTGCTCGATTGGCAGTTCAAAAAATCTCTTTGCTTGTGAGAATGTGCCATCGATATACTTCTGATCAATTCCCTGTGCAAATCGCAAAGAGCGTGGTTAGCAATTGAACATTCTACCATCTTGGCCTTGTATCTCTCTCTTCCCGGTTAAGGAATCACAGGCACAAAAGACTCACATGTCCAATAATGTAGAAGAAGCCAATGCGGTGAGCGGCTTCCCTAATCTTTTCTGCCACAGCCTTGCGATCTTCCAAGTTCTCGCTGTAGATTCCACTGATATCGATAACTGGAATCTCATCTGCATCGATGGGGTCGTTAGACTGCACCGTCAATTCCAATCCATTGTTCAAAGTGAGGGTGAAAGGGCCCTTCTGGGCTGTTGTCGTGGTGGTTGTGGCAGCCATGGTTGTTGTTGGACTTTGAAATTGTTGATCGGCCAGCGAATGCCCTCTGGACAAAGGACAATTTTGTAACGTTTCTCCTACATGTATAACCGGCACGGTTGAGATCGACAATCACATGACTGGACGTATGAGTGTGTTGTTTGGATCCGGTTTCGCAGCGGGAGAGAATCACGCTACCAGGTATTGTACTGTATAGCTAGTCCCCATAAGTGGATATCAGATAAGCACAGGCCAAAGGTATGATAGCTCGTGGGCGTCCCGAGGGATCTTATCAGCCTGCTTAGAGTCGTGCAGACTGATAAGCCACCCGGCTTGCCACATGGCAGATCCACGTCTTAATCGTTGAAATCTGCTGCCCTAGAATCTGACTAGACTCACTTGGAATCGATTCCTCAGCTAACTTTCCCGGCACAGGCATGATTGCAATTAGATAATCAGGCGATTGAGCACCCTGATTTCAATAACTGGGGGAACCGACTTGTCCTCCTTTCCAATCATCTGCTTCGCCCGGGGATCCATAATGGATACATGTGGAGCCCTCAACTCATCCTGGGTTTTGGCCCTGCGGTAAAAACCCACTTTGATTATCATCGGGAAACGGACTATAGCGCGCCAAGATTGTAATCTTCAACATCACGTAACGGGGAGAGTCAGAGTTTCGGTATAATTTAACCGCAATGTTCGCCTCCTCGCGACGAGATCCCCTTCGAGTTGGATTTCTCTCCTTTCCTCGGTGCACGTCGAGCTGCGCCAAACAACACACCTGGACCGTGGCGACTGTTATTGCCACTGTCGCCTCGACTTACACCTCCTTTGGAATCTGGACTATCCCGTATGTGATACGGTGCACACAGTCAGGTCGACCAGATTTTCCTCTACATTCAAATGATACCTGCGAGCATGTCCCACAATTTTTCATAAGGCAACATCCTTTTCTCGACGATATCGCTGATACCACAAATATGGTCCTCTCGGATAGTTCTCAAAGTCGTCTTGCCAGCCATAGGGACGCCAAGTATCATCATTCTGGAGAGTCCAATGCTTTAAAATCACCTCCACGGAGCCACTTCTTTATCACGCACTCGGATGCTGTTGCAGTGCCAGGCGAAAGTATCGCGAAACACCGGCCAGACGAATGTAGGTAGTCTCGAATCTGCCATGCGCCATTCTGTTCCCGTCTGTCTCGCACCCAGAACGATCTTTTGTGATATGGTCAGCAAACAGAACAGTTGCTTCGAGTGACACAGGACTGCAGCACTATATGCTAGGCTCACACAAAAAGAATAACTGATTGCGTGCTCTGTACTAACCTGGGAGAGGCGGGCCTCTTCTGGACAAGAATTCTAACAATCGCAAATCCCACACAACGATACTTTGCCTAAGATAATCTCTTTACTGAGATGACAAAGGGAGTAATTGAGACTCGAGTCTAGCTCGCGTAACCAGAGGAGCGAGAAATGTGTCAAGACGTGGTGGCATGTGCATGCAGAAGAAAAGGACTGGTAAGATGATTGATTGACGCCTCCTCCCATGAATGCCAATGAAGGGCAGGCGCATTTGTAAGATCCCAATCTGCAAAGAAATTCTCTAATATCAATGCCTCTGGTCTCTCCCTGGTGTCTAAATCGGCGACTGAGTCTTCCTCCTCCATTTATCAAAAGCCTCGGTTGCACTATTCTTCGCATCGAATCCCAACAACTGCTTCTGGTAGTTCAGATCCGCGCCTTTCCACTCGCATTCTCCCTCACCAGTTGCAGCCAGCATGACTTTGTTTCGCCGTTCCCGGTCCTCTGGCGTACTGGCTTGATACCAGTACTGGTTGCTTTGGGACCCTTTCTGGTTCAAAGTTGTCCTTGGTTTTCTTAAAGTTTCAAAAAGAGAAAGCAATTCTGGAATGTAGGTGTTCCGTTGTGCTACACTTTGTTGTGACGAAGATGACAGAGCCGCCTCATTGAGGGAGCCGAGTAAGACACCCAGAGTGATACCATCCTCCAAAGCCATAGCTGCTCCTTGTGCTTGGTATGGGAGAGAGGGATGGCATGCATCACCGAGGAGAACACATGAGCCCTGAATAGGTGTTAATGTCAACTGTGCTAATTGTCATGCAGAAAGTAGTTGCTGCTAACCTTGGACCAGATATCCAACTCATCTGCGTGTAACAACTTCCAGCTTATCGCCGAATGACCTTGTGACAAGATTTTCTGAAGCCTACAAAGAACGCATCAACACTAAGGGTCTAAGAATCTTCGTCATGTAGCGCAACATACCGTGGTTCCCAGCCTTCAAAGCAGCTCCGCATCTCCTCAAGTGTGGCAGCCTGCGTCCGAATGCCTTCTGGAATATTGTCCGGACCCCTAAATAAATCGCATAGCGAGTAAGTCTCCGAAAGAACATTATGGGCGTGGGGTCTGAAAGCCAGTTTACTTACATTAAAACCAGATTCCACATTGTCCGTTTTTTGATTGGGTACATGACACAATGTCTGTCAGGACCAAGCCACACTGTGGACATATTGACCTTCAGCAGCTCTTGGACGTCGGCATCATCTATTGCTGCCATGTCTTCTCCGGATAGGGTCATCCGATATGCGAGGTCTCCGGTAGGTTTAGGCGGTGCGGGCCTTCCCAGTACCTTTTCTCTGAATGTTGACCAGAGGCCTATGCGATCTTTGGTTATTCCCCCGAATTTCCACGAGTAGAAGTGTCCTCACCATCAGCCCCGACAACCACATCTGCCGCTACAACGGTTCCATCACTCAGTATCACGGCCGGCTCTTCAAAATTGACATCTTGCATTTCGCAGCCTAGGCGGATAGTGCAACCCAATCGCACGGCCTCCTCGTAAAGCGTATCATGGTAGTCTGCTCGGTGTGTCACGCTGTTGAGCTGATCAGCCAAAGGTTCGTCTTTATTGCTGTGTTGGCCGTGTGGGTTTGGCATTATCAAATTATCTTAGGTAATGACTCACCAAGCGGGATCGAGAGGCAACTTTTGAGCCTCGGGCGACAGCCTATTGCGCCGCTGATATAGAATACTGCCATCGTCGAAATTCAAGAATCGAGCTCCTGTGATTGGAACAGCCCCTTTCTGGAGCAATGAGTCGACCAAGCCGTAATGACCAAGAACCCTTGTCGCATTAGGTGGAACGACAATTCCGGCGCCGATCTAAAAAAGAGTGCCTTTCAGTATCTTGACTTGCTTCGTCGCGTGAAGAAGTAGATATCGACCATTACATACCGGCAGAAGTTCGGGAGCCCTTTCTAAGATGGTGACCTTGCATTTTTGTCGTATGCATTGTATGGCGCATGAAAGTCCTCCTGTATCCCAAGTTAGATCAGCACACAAATTACACTTCCAGGACACAGAAATATGAATTGCACGGTGGTGACCTACCTAGGCCACATCCTACTATCACCACATTCAGCGGCTCAATCTCACGTTGTTGTACCGACATTGTTTGTCTTTTTGACCTTGCTCACCTGCGTTGCGTAGATAAAATCACCCTTGAATTTCACGGGCGAGGAAGATCACGATCGACGCGACAGTATTTAGTGCTGAGAATGATTGACAATGCCTCGGCGCATTCCATACTTTCACAACGACATCCCACACCGTATACTACCGCCGTGGTCTCCATGTGCCCCATGGGGAAAGCCGGCAGGGACATGCATAAGAACACGACCGTGTCTAATGTGTCAGGCGATGCTGCATAACGGACCCGGAGACAATGAGGCTGAACCTAATTCAATATTTGGAGACGGCGGAGTTTGAAGATTAACATCAACTCCGCTCCGGGCCCACCATCCTTCGCGCCACCTGGGGAAAAAGTACAGGGGATCGGTTGGCTGGATTCAACGACCCCCGGAAACCTGGGGAACGGGTCCTAGCCATCACTCCGCCGTGGTTTAGAAGTACAACGCCTACTGAAGCTAGGTCGCTGTCTACTGCGGACTGTTCGAAAGGCATCTATCTTGATTTTCAAAAAATTGGCCATATCATTCATTTTTAACCGGAGGTCCAGCTATAAACCGCTACGCTTAGAGCATTGTCTTCAAAGTAGGTGGGGGTACTGTTCTCTCAGTCAAATGATGTCTTGGGCCAATATCCGGCCTCTTCTTGATCTGTCTTTCATCTTCCCCCGACCGTACGCGGGCCACCAGATCATCGGGGTTAAACTCCACGCCAAATGGATTCTCCATAAATGCAGGGCTTGACATATACTCCGTAGCATCAGCGTTGTCATCAAAATTGTCCACTTGAGTCTCAATCTCATTGCCATCAGGATCTCGATAGTACAGACTAGTGGTGGTACCATGGTTGATACACCAGAATGGGACGATGCCGTGTGCTTTTCTTTGCTCGTAGGAGTCGGCTAGATCTTTCAGACCGTCAAAAGTGAAGGCGATATGGGCCAACCCAGAGGTGGTGGGGTCCTTGTCTTTGACACCAGGGAAGCCAGCAATGGCGATTCGATGATGCTCATCATCATAGGTTAGGAAGGCGAGAAATCCATTGTCGTGAACGATTTTGGCGCCGAGGAAGATGTGCCAAAACTGCACCATCTCTTTGAATTTGTTGGTTTGAAGAACAACATGGGCAAGTTTGTTGGGGCTGACCACTGGTCCCGCCTTTGCGGATGTCATCGTTGTTTGAGTAGGATTTACTTTGTCTTTGACTGATAGTTGGAAGCCTGGAGATTGTTGAGACTCAACGCTGAAGTGAAATCTTTCTTAAATCGTTAATCTGAACCCGGAATGATCGGATATATCTCGTAGGGGGGCGAGGCCTGGCCTTTAAACTGATCTGTTCAAATCCCGGAGAACTGGACGTTTCTCGGAATCCGGGCCTCCAGGACAAGAAAAAACCGCCACTCCCGTGCCACTCCCTGCCCCTCCCGCTGGGACGAGGGAAGCCTCGCATATGTTCCCGGGTATGAATCCTAGGTAAAGGGGCCTCGAACAGAGCCTACTGTGTCAGGCATACGGGGTCCGTGTATCTGGCACCTGTAGATAGAATGATCCATAGGAGAGCGTTCCCAGTCATGAAGGGGGGCTTCCGGCCACCACTATACCTCTCTATGACACAACGCCCTACAACAAGTGGACTATTTTACACTACTATAATATGAGGTGCGTGATATGAGTTGCGATAATCTCCCCGCGGGCCCACAAGAGACATTTCATAAAGTTTCACGCATGGCTCATGGGATACCTCATCCACCAGGGATAGGGGATGGTGCAAGAAGTGGTACCCTCTTCAGCGTCTCTTTCTCGGTGACGCTCAAAGTAGCCAGTTCTGAAACGCGACGTTTTGAACAGATCTGGACAATATCTGATAGTCAAGCAGCAATAGTCAGCATTTCTCATAGTCAGTCCATGAAGAAGGTGGGCAAGACCAACCTAAAAGTAGCTCTCCAAGTTCCCAGTACCAAGCATGGCGTTTCAGGCAAAGTTTCATCATCTCAAAATCGTCGTTCGAAGTATTAGGGTTCTGTGATGATCCAGAGAGACAGTTCTCGACGTGGATGGCATGTGGACCCACGATAGCGCAGGCTAAGAAAGGCGAGAACGGCATCGATTTAGGTGACCACGCTCGAATCGCGGACAAGATCTCGTTTGTCTGGCTGTGTCCAGAGTCCCTCAATTTCTCAATCATTGCTGGGGAAGACGCATTTGAAGCTGGACTATTGATTTCCATAGCCATTTCGTGACGAGTTGTCGCTAGTAAGCAACTGTGATACCCATGATCAGCAAAGTCTCACATTCATTCAGTCGAACCAGCGATAGCCCAGTGACAATGCAACATACCTCTGAAGCATGATGTGGGTGCTTATGACCCAGCCAAAATCACTTCCAACGTTTGTCAAGCCCGAGCAGATATCAAATGAAGGTGGTAGGGCTAGTGAAAAATATTTAACAGCAAGTTTGTAATCCTGGACATCTTTCTGTGCACGAGCCGTGTCAAGCTCGCGCAATTCGTGGCCCAGCCGAACCAAATGGAGGTTCACCAAATACCAGGCCCTTAGAGACTGATTTGGGCAGTCTACCAGGCTTTGCCATGCCATGAGAGGGTCCTGTGTTAATGAAGCCGAGGCCACGGGGACGCCGGCATACCAATCTTTGTCGGAGACAGGGAGCAGAATATCAGTCCTTTGTCGGTCCAATCCGTAAGGACGACAGGTAAGTGTTGATGCCAAATGGTCCAGTTCATAGCAGCACCACCATGCACGGCGCTTTTCTTCCCGCTCAACCCATTCCAATACATACTGTGGTGATGACACATCTCCAGAAATCAGTTCGCGGTCCAGTTCGTGGAGTCCAAGCTCATAAGCCATTCGTGAACAAAGTCCTGTCAGCACCCAGGCGCGTGAAGTGATTCCCGAAGAAAGTCGATAGCACGCCAATAAGATACATCCCTGTAGAATTCGGAGTGACGACTGTCCTATGGCGCTCGAATTGTGGTTTTCTAACAAATGCTCCGCTCGCCTGGCGAATGGCTCTCCGCGGGTAGTACGGCCACGATCTGAAAACGCGTCTGCTGAGGAGAAACGTGCCGAAAGTGCAAACATGGCATTCAACACAAATGCTGACTCTCGAGACGTTGAACTTGTTGAAAGACTCAGTTTGTCGATCTTCCCTCGAAACTCTTGCTCAAAGTTTGGTCGGTGGAACATCGGTAGAAAAGGCTGAATCTTCTCAAAGTACAGTTGAAGCCTGGACGCAATTTGTTAGCAAACCGGCGAGGCAGCAGAAATCAGACGCTCACAGGTCATCATATGGAATGTTCGTTTCCGAGATAGAGCTCGCTGGGCTATTGGCGGGCAGTAATGAGGATTGCAAAGCGGTCAGTGACTCATCCTGACTCGACATGCTGGACCCTGCTTGAGGCATGTCCAGCTCCATTGATAGATCCGATAAGTTCCCAGGAACTCCGCCATTGCTGAAATGCGTATTTTCAAGGAATTGATCTGGATGGGCAACATGCTGGCCCGGAGACATGATAGAGCTCCAGAAAGAATGGTCTGTCATCATTACGGACGTCCCGCCCTGCTGCGCGTTGATAGACCCTAGGTCATGGTTTAGATGATAGTTCGGGGGAGAGTCTACCCTAGAACCGGACGGCGGTGGCATTAAGTCGGTCTGCATTGTCGCTGAGAGATCGAACGAAGGAGTGCTATCGCCGAAATGGTTTTGTTCCACGCGTGACTCGAGAAGTGCCAGAAGTCTGTCTATCTTACTGTCAGCTTCCACAGGATTAGATCCGAAGATCTCGTAATAAAGGAAATACCAACCTAATTGTTTCCCTTTTGTGTTGGGACGTGGTTTTCTCTGATTGGTGGAGTTGCGTAACGACTTTCGACTCGTGTCTGGGAAAATGCAGGTTTTGTCTGTTCGTGAACAAAGAGAGCACTTGGGTCTCAGCATATCACCTAGTCTAGTCAGTGATCCTGTCCTCATCATGCTCACGAAGGCATAGCCCAACATTTTGTTTTCTTCCTGTGATCGAGTCAGCATACACCAGCCAGAATTCGGCGCATTACCCACCGTTTGCACTCATCACATGCACGCTGACGACTGTCTACGGTGCTTGCAGGGGCAACCCAGATGGCTTCATTGTGTGGTAACTCCTCAAAGGGTCCCATTGTTTCGAACTGGTGTCTCGTAGGAATCAGTTGTCGGTTTAAATGTACACTGTACGCCCTGCTTCAGGACGTTCGAGCGCATTGAGGCTCTAGTCCCAGGCGAAAATTTCAGGAATGATGGCGAACTAGGTATTGTGCTGCTTGTTAGCAAGTGAGAAAGTGAAATGCGCGGGGCTCGCGCCAAATTATGCCTCGGCAGCCTGTCAGCTTTAAAGCCGCTATGCATCGCCTAGATCCTTCAACCACAGCAGTGGTCACAGGGCAACAGAGGAAAGGCTATTGGTGCCTCGGCATGTCAGCCAAGGAGAATAGGCGGGACGGTTCCAACAATTGGTTATTTGGCTAGAGAATGAGAATCGAAGATCCCTGGACGGATTGGACGCCGATCAGTTCACAGTTAGTGGTTAAAAGTCGAGAAGTGGAACAGAAATTGACTCGATACGTGACACCGATTCTTGAAATCCCATTGGCATTCTGTTACTAGTCTTTGGAACTGCCATTCTTATTACAACTTTGATCCAAGTGCTGAATCTCGAATTCTGCTATTTAGTCCACTCTGGGTCAATGTACCATCGAGCTCCAACCTTGTTCTCCCCGCCTTTTGGTCGAAGAACTTTTGGGTCTTCGCGGCCACAGCTGTGGCGGTATCCACAACCTCCAGTAAATTTGCTGGCGAATCATACTTGTGAAGATGGCACTCTAGCATCTGGATTTGTTTTCCCTCCTGGAAGTCTGGGTGGCTCAAAACCTGTCGCAAATCGGCGTAGGTACGGGCCGAGTACGACCTGGACTTTCCTCTTCCGCCGAAAAACGAAAGCATCACCTGATGGTCCCATGGCGCAATATCATTATGAATCTTTGCAGGCCCGTGAATGACTCTTTCTACCGTATAGCCTTCATTGTTGATAACGATGATGATGGGACGATATCCGTTGCGGACCATGGTACTAATCTCCTGCCAACAAGTCAGTGTCTCAGTATAAGCGCAGGCAACCTGAACTCGCTCTTACTTGAACGGTCATTTGAAGGCTTCCATCACCAACAAAGAGGAAAACCCGACCTGGCTTCTGCATTTCTTCCCGCGCCACGAGTGTTCCCAGTGTTGCCCCAACAGTGAAACCGATACAGCTGTAGAACATTTGAGTAAAATACTGGCAGTCTCGTGGCAGTGACATGCCAACAGTAGCAAATTGAGAGGTTCCAACTTCGGCAATGACAGAGTCTCCAGGGCGCAAGATCTGATTGAAAATTTTCCAGATGTGGGCTTGAGTCAGTTGACCTTGCAACTTCTCGAGCTCAGCGCTAGCGACTGTTGGCTTCGTCTGTAGTTGAAGGTCAAGTCAGCGCAACCTGAATTCCAAAGTGCTTGAAGGGCTCGAGAGTTACTCACAGATTTGCACCAGGAGGTCTGAGCATTATTTAATGATCTAGACGCTAGCCTCAGGGAAAGCTTTTGCATGACGCCAACAAAGGACACTCCATCAAACTTCTCCTTGCCCACAGAGACATAGTGAGGATGGAGGCCGATAACATCGCCACCAAATTTCTGCGTGAACCCTCCGCAATTACTGTCGGAAGGAAAGCGTCCGACGTGGATAGTAAGATCGGCACTTTCGAAGTCGGCTTTCACCTGTTTGAATGGAGTGATGATCCCTTGGTAGACGCCCTGAAAGTTGTCCCGAGTCTCGTCTACCATGGACTTTGCAAGGGGGGTTACAAACACCTGGTGGAACGTGATTAAAACAATGCTTCTTAGGCAGCCAGAATGCGACAAGGTTGGAATGATGTCTCTGGTTGTCTTACCGGTAATTTGGTGGTATCCAGTATCTCTGATACCACTCCTGTTAATCCAAAGCGTTGTGTGAGCATGTCAACCAAGAGACATGGCCTTTTGGCTTGTTCTATGTGTGCAATGATCTTTTGCACCACCACATCTTCAGCCTCCTCTCCAGCGGGACTTCGAATGCCTAGATCCAGCGGCTGCTGCAGTCTTCTGCTGTCCACCAATATATCGGGCGTGTCAGCGGGAACACGAAGGTACACGGGTAACCTTGTCCTGAAACATTCTTCGATCACTCGATCAACGTCCTCTGTGAATGTTTCATCATTGTCCAGGGAAACCGAAGCCGCACTTAAATGACTTGACACTTTTTCCAATGTTCTGTGATCCCAACCTTCGTCTCCACAAGTGTGGTGAATCATCACTCTTTTATCTTGAGCCAGCCGAGAAGTTGTGCCAACAATGTGGATAATTGGAACATACTCGCTGCGGGCACCTCCTATTCCATTGATCGCACTCAATTCACCAACTCCGTATGTCGTGACTAGAACTCCTGGCAGCCCACGCGTACGGGCATAACCGTCAGCAGCATACGCTGCGTTTAGTTCATTGCATGTCCCAATCCATTTCAGACCCTCCACTGGATACAAATGGTCGAGGAGGTTGAGATTGTAGTCTCCAGGGCACCCGAAGACGCTCTTGATGCCCAGACCTCGGATACGCTGGAAAATGTAGCCTCCAAGTGGAATTCGATGAGATTCCATACTGGTGTTTGGGGCTTACAGGAAGTTGAATGCAATTGAGTATTATAGACTGAAGATGATTCAAGAAAGAATAAAATCTCACGACAGGCCGAGGCAAGTCATACGGTTTCTACATAAGCCCTAACCCCTCGTTCACTTACGGTCAACCCGATGCTAGCCCATGAATACATTCCAAATAGATCCGACAGCCAGTGGTGATGCGCGTTGTCATGAAGACGGACCCGGGGGCGGAGCGTAGGCAAGTTGGGGCCGAACCCCGTGCTAGGCGGATATTCCAAAAGTGGAACAACCGCCAGTGTATCACTGCTTAGGCGATATGCCTCATCAACTTCTGTTTATACACAAAGGCCTTCTGAGGGATATAACTTGGATTACGTCTCAAAACTATCCAACGACTCACGAAATAATGTCCTACGTGATCGAGAACACAGTATGGCCAGATTGGGAGATTACCCAAGAAAAGCGGGCGTTGCTGAGTCTCTTCTTCGAACTAGCAGATCTGAAGTCCTCGGAAGCTGGGCCTCGGATGGCTGCTGAGATTTTCACTTCAGACGCAGTTCTTGCCGGTGGCAGGGGAAAGATTTCTGGGACTGAGGGTAACGATCTCCATGAGAACCAAAATGGTGGATATATGACGGTGCTGATTTACGAAACTATAGCCATTACTCAGTCCAGGAAGAACGCGTGGGACCACATTGACAAGCGAAGACATGTCCTCTCGCGAGTCTATACTCTTGACAAGAAAGCGACAGACCTAATATTGGTGGGAGAACTCAAAGCGACAACAAAATCGGGGAAAGACTTTCGACAGGAATTCTGCGCCAGAGCCGTCGTGGCAGAAGACGCTGCGGCTGGTAAACCTAGGCTATCCTTATACCAGGTTTGGGCGGTAAGCATTGTTGACCATTACAAGGAGAAAGAAGACAAAATAACAATAGATAGGATCCTACCCCAATGCAAGAAGCACTGAAGCTTTGATGAAAAACACAACAAGTATTTGGACACAACAAACGAACTTGGTAATTAGGTAGAAACTCTCAAAGTCTTGGGTTGCCGAGACTTCAACCCTCTTCAGACTCGTTTCTCAATTTCTCCGAAAACTAGTAGCGACCTACCTATATAACGTACATCACCGCATAGACGGGATAATGTTGTGCTTGGGGGGCTTCTACATTTAGAATAAGCTCCCAAGGTGATAGGGCGAACCTTGATGTCCTTCAGATGGGGCAATGAGAGGAGCACCGTCTTGATTCGCGGGGTTGGACAGCCCGGTGTGACCTCCGCTCCGGGGTTCAAAGCACTGCTTCAGTTACCCTTCCTAAGATGACGCGTATAATGTACATTTTACACTCTTGCCCTTCTCGATTGAGTCAAAAACCTTGCTCGCAGTGGTAAAGTACTTGAACGTGTATATTGTCCTCTTATTGTCCTGCGCTGCTAGGATTCTCATTCGATCGGATAATCACCTCCAACCACCATGCAGAATTCCATACCCCTTATAATTCATGGCGAGGAAGTCAGATCCCCTTTAGGGCACCAAATAGAAGTTCGAAATGCAAGTCAAGATCGTATTGTTGGCTACGCAGAGTCTGCAGACGTACAGACCGCAACCAAAGCGGTCGACAGCGCGTCAAAAGCATTCACCAACTGGAGAGATGTGAATCCATCGAAGAGGAGAGACATACTTCTCCAGACAGCAAATAGGTTTGAACAAGTGCAAGACGCACTCAAAGCCAGTCTCCGGGAGGAGACAAGTTGCACAGAAGAGTGGGCTATGGCCAACATTATGGGGACACTAAAGTCCCTGCGAGAGCTGGCATGCAGTATATCAGCGGTTCATGGCGAGATTCCCTTGGAGGAAGATAATTCAAGACTTTCATTGATATTTCAGGTGCCAGTAGGGGCAGTTCTGGTCATTGCTCCGTAATCCACATCCAGTTTTATCACATAATTCATGTTGTCTAATTCAAGTCTACACAGGTGGAACGGCGGTATAGTGCTCCCTGCAAGAGCGATCACTCAACCTCTTGCGGCGGGATGTACCGTCGTGTTCAAAGCTTCCGAACTATGTCCTCGCACGCATCATTTGGTGGCCAAATGCTTTTTGGACTCTGGAATCCCTGCCGGTGTCCTCAACGTGGTGCAGGCAAGACGCGAGGATGGAGCTGCAGTCACAGAGGCAATTATTGCACATCCGGCCATCCGAAAGATCGATTTCATCGGTAGCGCGGCTGTTGGGAGAGCGATAGGGGAGATCGCTGCTCGACACCTGAAGCCAGTTCTGATGGAACTTGGTGGTAAATGCCCTGCAGTTGTACTCGACGATGCCAATATTCCGGACGCTGCAGCTAAATGTGTTATTGGATGTGAGCAATTCTCATTCTGTCTGAACCTCCATGATGAGAAATATTGATACTAATATGAGGACTCCTTAAATAGCATTTCTCCACCACGGCCAAATCTGTTTTTCAACCGAAAGAATCATCGTTCAAGAGTCAGTGGCGGAGAAGTTCATCTCAGAGCTGAAAAAGATAACTGCTGGCTGGACCCCGGTTGATGGCGTGAACAAGAGGATGGTAGGCAACGCTCTCGATCTCGTCAAGGATGCAGCTACAAAAGGATGCGAATTTGTTGTCGGTGGACCTACGTCTGTTAGGTCATCAGCATTACAGCCGAGTATTTTGACTCAAGTTACCAAGGACATGTCCATCTTCGATAGTGAGAGCTTCGGGCCTTCAGCCAGTCTTTTTACTGTGACAACCGAAGATGAAGCTATCAAGCTTGCCAACAATACCACGTATGGACTCAACGCGTCAGTCCATTCTCGAGACATCGGGAGAGCTCTTCGTGTTGCTCGACAGCTTGAGTGTGGAACAGTCTGGGTTAATGGCCTGACCGTGGGAGAATTAGGTGGGTTTTGTGTAATACTATGCAGAAAAGACTCAGGACTGACTACTAACCACAGCAACCTGTCCCATCGGTGGCCACAAAGGCAGTGGGTGGGGACGCAGCAACTCCAAATGGGGATTAAGCGAGTTTGTTCAAACGCAAACAATCAACCTGCCCAAGTTATAGACCGGCATAGTTGGTTTTCCTATGGAATGCTCAATTGATCAGATGTGAGGACAGAAAGAAGCGATTCTAAGCAATGGTCAGCAGATACTAGGTACTCTCAATTAGTGGATCTCTTCATTCTACAGTGGATTGATAGATGGTAAGAGACCAAAATTCTAAGGCGATCTATAGTAAATCTGCGAAAGGTCTTGAGATTGCACTATTGGATATCTGCATCATGTGGTATTCAATACATGTCTGCTTCGTGTCATTGAATAGCGTTTATGCCCCGTACAGACCCTTCATTTGAGATGAGACCTTTTTCATTCGAGGTCGAGGCTTTCAAGCTGGAAATTGATCAACCTCTATTGGATTCTTCTAGACCGTAGACTACGCGTCAAATGGTAATTCAGCAATGCACCACGATGGCACTCCGTGTCTAGGCTGGCAGCTAGCGCTGATTCGATTCTTTTTTCGTGAAACGGGGAGATTCACTTGAGAGTTTGACAGGGCCAGGGCTCCGTGCTTGACAAACACGGTGCCGGGGATTCGTGCGGACATTGCTCCGCCGTCCTTAGGTTCAGTGTATTCAACCTCCGCTCCTTTTTGTGTCCTACCCCGGATCTTTAGCCCCTATATGGGTCATTTGCAGGTGGGGTGGAGCTATACCCCAGATATTACTTAAGTAGGCTTGGAGAATCTCATCCCTCAATGATCACACTGCTATCGCCATCAAACATTCACAGAACGAAGCGCACAGCAGCAAAGCACAAACTATGGCAACCGACATCAAAATGAACATTGATTCAAAGGTGGACCATGAAGAACATTTCGGCGACGAAACTCAATCCAAGGAAGAACAGGAATACCCTTCCATCTTGCAAGAGTTTTCAAAAGAAGATGAGAAGAAGATTCTCAGAAGAATCGATTGGAGGCTCCTTCCAATTACTGGAGCAATCTACTGTGTGTCGTTGGTGGACAGAACTAATTGTATGTGTCGACCTCTCTCTGTTCCGATAGAACATTTCAGCTGACTTCTACTAGTGGGCAACGCTGCTATTGCTGGGTATTATACTAATTCTTGTTGACACCACTGGCGACCTGTGCTGATGGCTTTCACAGTATGACTCGAGATCTCCAACTTAATTTGGGAATGCGGTATTCTATAGTGTCACTGCTCTTCTTCCCAACCGCAATTATCTTCGAGATCCCAGTGACGATCTTCATCCGTTTTATCGGACCTCGGGTATTCTTCACGGTCATTTGCATGACTTGGGCTTTAACCATGATCGGGTTTGGCTTTGTGAACCACTGGCACCAATTGGCCGGCGTCCGACTTGTTCTTGGAGCTCTCGAGGCCGGCTTCCTCCCCGGTTGTTTGTACTTCTTGAGGTGGGTGCAGCGGCTAAGTACTACAATATTGGAAGACGACTAAGTAAGGCAATAGCACGTGGTATAAGAGGCACGAATTGCACCAGAGGTGAGTCAAAACAACACTTTCCCTGTTGAACATATCTCTGACCATGACAGATATGCTATTTGGTTTCTCACCGCTTCATGCTGTGGCTCATTCGGCAATATCCTTGCCTATGGTCTCATGCAGATGGATGGACGGCACGGCCTGGCTGGGTGGCGATGGGTAAGACTCGTCACTGCGTGCCCTTGCTACCAAGAACTAACCTCCACAGATCTTCATAATGGAAGGTGTTCTCACTGGAGTTGTCGCTATCGCTGGCGGAATACTTCTCGTAGGATTTCCCAAGGTTGGCAAACGGGCTTGGGGATTTCTCAACGATAGGGAAATCGAGTGGGTCATCGCCCGTATCAACGCAGACAGAGCAGATGCCGAGGAGACCAAACCCTTCCACTTCCCTAGTTTCATGGCCCACGGTCTCGAACTCAAGATCTGGGGGTTTGCCATGATTTTCTTCATGCTTTCAGTCGTCGGCTTCTCCTTTGCCTTCTTCCTCCCTCTTATCCTTAGAGGTGGAATGGGTTTCTCAATGGCCGCCTCTCAATGCCTGATCACTCCTCCATACATCGCCGCCGCAATCCTCATGTATACTGAAGGCAGACTGGGTGACAGATATAAAGTGCGAGCGCCAATCTTGATCACCAACGCCATTCTTGCTCTCATCGGACTTCCCATCATGGCTTTCGGGCCCAACAGCGGAGCCAAATATACGTATGTCACTCTAAAGCTTTCGAAAACTCAATGCTGACGTTTGTGTCCCAGCGGTGTCTTCTTTGTCGTCATGGGTACCTTGGCCAACATTCCCACTGCTATGGTGTACCAAGGTCGGTTAAGATGCCTGCACAAATGTGACCAGATTTACTAACCTGTCCTTCTCTAGCCAACAATATTCGAGGACATTGGAAGCGAGTCTTCTGCAGCATCACTTTCGTCGGTCTTGGATCCGCTGGTGGTATCGCAGGCAGCTTAGTATTCCGATCCCAAGATGCCCCACACTATCGACCCGGAATCTATGCCTGTATTGCTTGCGAGGCATTCGTTATTCTCATCACGATGGCAATGACGATCAAGTTCCGACGAGACAACGCAAAACAGGCCGCAGGAACCAAGATCATTGAAAATGATAAGAATTTTCGATATACAATCTAGTTTCTATATGCCACCCATATGGGGTCAGGTCAAGCGAAAGCCATTCAAGTTTTCAAAAGGTACCTGAGATTTAGGAGGAGAGGCGGTTATGATTCTACTCGCCCGTGTCAGAGAGGGATAGATTGTCACATACACCACCAAAAATCACAATATTTGACGTCTTCGTCCCGATAGCAAGATTTTATGCAAACACACGAGTTCATCTCGCCTAAAATTATAAGGAACCCTCGTCTCCACCGCGTGAACTGAAATCGGACTTCATTCTATCAATAGTATTGATTGATCCCAGATAATGGAGAGGTAGAAGGCAGGCACTCCTCTAAGCGTGATATAATCTCAAATGAATTTGATTTCCTCGAATCATTCTTGGAAGGCCAGACAATCCCTTGTCTAAAATGATGCCTTGTGATACTATGCTGCTAATGACCATGCTTCAGAGGCGAGCACACAGAAGGCAACATGGACTACAAAAGGTGATTATGGAGTCTGTCATTAGCCATTGATGAGCTACAAACAGATCAGATGTCCTTATGGATGTTCTTCTCCTAATTCCGCGCTCTGGCAAAACTGCCCTGGGCATCTCTCTTATAAATTTACTGATAAAATTCCGGAGACTGTTTCAAGGCACGGAAGCATTCCACGTCGTGGCCATAAACAAGCTTTGCCCCAATGAGTGATTCGAGTCGCTCGATATACCTGGTGGAAACGAACCACGCGTTCTTGTCGCGGCCAAGCAGCCCTAAAGATGTGATTAGAAACAAAGCCATCGTTAGACATCAAGCATCTGATGCTGCCTACCTTGAGGAATTTTTAGGGTGTAATTTTCTTTTACATGGAACTGATCACCTGTAAACAGGAAAGTTCCACTCTCTGCAAGGTCGACCTGAAGACAACACAGGCCAGGAGTATGCCTATGAAGAAGTTTCAGCGCTTTTCTAGATACAAACTGACAATATGGAGTTGCAGTCAGGGTCTTACCCGGGACACAGATGCATTGTTATGCCACTAAAGAGTTCAGTGACACGGTCATCGAATGTGTGCCAGTTCAGCCGGGGGGAAAGGTAGGATGCTTGATACGGACCAGCATCCGCCTAAGTGAAATACGTTAGTGTTGAATTTAGGGCAATTTGTAACCAGAAGACTCGTGCCTTTGTATACAAACACCAGAGTGCATTGCGCAATTCCAAATCGTGCACGTAGATGGGCACATTTGTATCGATGAAATGCATCAAGCCTCCTGAGTGGTCGGCATCTACCCATCATTAGTTACGAACTTTAAAAGAGTGACGCGAACAAACGCAGGTGGCCCATCAGAACGGCCTTAACGTCCTTGATCGAATTCCCTGTTGCGGCAATTTGCTCGTCGAGACGATTCTTGGTCACATAATGTTTCCGGGGCGAAACGTCGTACATCTATGGTGGTAATTAGGAGACGATATCGAAAATTGTGAAAAGTGCCTCTTACCGGCCCCCAGTGCTTTTCCATGTCGTCATGACAGCCGGTCTCGTAAAGAATCAATCCGGCTGTGGGATGCTTTATGAGAACGGCGTAGATAATCAAATCGATCCGCTTGTGCTTAGGGTTGGGATTGCTGGCCGTACCGACTGTGGTCCTCAAGTAAGTTGATATGATCCTCGCGCCGATGCATCATTCCTCTTACAGTTTTGATGCCCACCAGCGAGCACAAAGTTGGCGTCAATATCGATGGTGCCGAGATCGAGCAGCTGTATCCGTCAGACATCATGTTTCATACATCGAAGCACGTTAGTTGACGAACCCACATCTTTGTCCCATCGGGACATGCTTTAAACGTGCAAGGGCCCATGACTGAATGAAATTTCGAGTAGGAACGTGATACTGGCAAACTTTCTTCAAGCTAAACGAAAGAATCGAGGATGGTCTCACGACAGATAGACGGAACCACCTGAATAGGGTGTCTAGCGAGCATTGTTTTAGATCCGTGGAGGAGTGCCCTGACTTAGATGTCTACCCCGGCCTCTACGGAGTCCGATCAGGTATAGCACCACTACCGTACCATCTCAGATGCATTGCATGAAAGGGATCCATCGATTACCCCAGTTTGTCGAGTTGGCCAGGGCCGCCCAGAACGCGGAGAAGTAGCAACACCGTGAAGCCCGAATTCCGAACCGTGTCACGTGATCTCCGCTATTTCCGGATCTCTACTCATCGGCTCGGATCGATTAGTGATACGATGATAGAATCCCAATAGAGGACGCCTTAATAAGATCTTTGCTTTCCTTTGCATATTCTCGTGTCGGTTGAATCATCTCAGAAAAGTCGCTGCCCGCCATGGACACACAGTTTGTACGTCTGCTACGATTCTCTGACCCAGATGGGGCGGTCTGGTATGGCGAGGTACCATCACTTGTAGACCCTGACGAGGTCCTTGGCAAATCAGTTGAAGTCTTCGAAGGAGGAGAGCCATGGACCTCATCCTTCAGAAAGACTGGTTCGACGAGAAAGGTCCAACAGGTAACCACACCTACTAGAGCCTCTAAAGCCATTCTCCAACTTGGCTGACCGGACAAAGATCTTGTCTCCTTTAGCAAAGACGCCATTGTTTTGTTGTGTTGGATTGAACTATAAAACCCACATTGAGGAAACAGGGGTAAGTGCCATCAAACTGTTTGAACGGGAATTCCCGAGCTGAGATATTGTTCAGATGAAAACGCCTCAAGTTCCGGCACTTTTCTTTAAAGGGCCAGGTGAGTGTCTGAACTGCAATTACTTTTGATAGAAGGTTACTGATACTCGCCTAGAGTCTTTAGCGGGACCACTTGACGTAGTTGAAGTTCATAACGAGTGTCCAGCAATGGACTATGAGGTCAGCAACGCTTGGTTCTACGAACTTATTGTGTATTAATGTCGATCCTAGGGCGAGCTTTGCGCGATAATCGGGAAACCATGCAAGAATCTAGAGGACTCTGATGATGCTCTGTCATATGTCCTTGGCTATGCTGTTGGCAACGATGTCAGCTGTCGGTATTGGCAAGAACGAGCTGGTCCAGCTTACGCAAAATCCTTTGATGGGTTCGCGCCCATTGGTCCCTTCATCACCTCCCTCAAGGCTCTACCCGACGCCAATAATCTTCGCCTGACAACGAAAGTGAACGGCGAGACACGTCAAGACGCTAGAACGAATGACTTGCTTTTTAACGTTAGCGCCATTATCCGATTCCTGAGTAGAGGCAGAACCCTCACGCCTGGTACTGTGATTATGACGGGAACGCCTTCTGGAGTCGCGCTAGGCTCAAAGCCTCCGCGTTGGCTAAAGGACGGAGATGTTGTGGAGATTGAGATTGAGAACCTAGGGATTATTCGAAATCGGTTTGCCATACCACCCGTGACTGAAGTGCGTTTGTAACAGGCACTTCGGCGGTGAGTTTGTCCAACAGGGCTTTCTCTCGGAGCTTTTGTTGACCAATATGGGTGGCTAGAAGATGTGCCATGAACTTTTGTTTCTACCATCCCTCAGTGTCACTTGATGGAGTCAGTGCTTGAACGAGACACGATGTTGAATGAAACATAGCTTCAGGCAATCCACATCAATCTCGGAACCGCATAGAGATGAAGATAGAGCCAGCCGACGGTCCACGATCTACACCGTGGGCGTTGAAATGTCGAGACTAGTATAAGGTTCCTCCCACCCATCTCAAGCTAGAGGGCAGATACATTGAGACGCATTGAGACGCATTGGAGTCAATTACCAAGGTAGTCACGTGAGGTTTAGTGCAGGGAGGGGTCGTGGTTATTAGAGCGGCAATATATATTGACCGAACGAGTCATGTCGCACAAACCAATTAGAATCTTCCTTCCAAACTTGGCAGCCGTGTGACTCAAATCGCTTACCTAATACAGTCGAGGAGGGTTTCTTTCTGCATATGACTTTCTCCCAAAATGACTGCGTTTGTTGATTCCTCCCCCCATATCACCAGAAGGCAGTGCCAGCGCCTGTGCCTGTGCCTGTACTTGTACCTGCGCCTCCCACTGTGATCCTCCAGCGACAGGATCATCCCTTCATCATGACTTCTTCGCAATCAACTCCACAGTCGACATCAACTACATCAAGCAATTCCCTAAATCCAAGTGCCCCGACGTTCACACCAAATGACTCGACCACTGGCAATGACCATCCCCAGGAAATCGACTTTGCCAACCCGGCCATCAATGGTGCGGCTACCAATGTTAGTGACAAGAAAGTCAAACCCGCCAGACCAGATCCTGCTGCCCGATCAACGACAGCGGATGACATTGCAGAAGCTGGTGCGGGCGTCAAGCTCACTGGGGCTCAACTGAAGAAGCAAAAGGCAGCAGAGAAAGCAGCTAGACGGGCGGAGAAGGTCGCAGCCAAGGGCGCTGTTGCACAAGCTGAGGCACAGGTCAAAACCGAGTCGCAAAGGAGGTCATCCACGACCAAGAGAGAGGCAGAGGGTTTGAGCGCTGGTGCCCATCACAAAAGGACTTTGTCGTCAGTAGGAAAGGCTTTGCCCGTACGTGGCGGCCCTCATCAGCCAGGCTCCCAAGCAACGAATCAATTGAACCCGACTACGACTGCCGCTGGACCAGAAAGGGAAAAGCACAAAGAGGTGAAAAAGGTTCCCATGTTCAGTCATCTATATCCCAAGGAGAAAAAGGCAACGTTATCTGGGGCAGGTCGGGAGATCCATCCTGCTATATTGTCGTTAGGGTTACAGATCCGTGACTATGTCATTTGTGGCGGCAATGCGCGATGTGTCGCTACGTTGCTTGCTTTCAAGAAAGTCATCCAAGCATACACTACGCCTTCTGGTGTGGCCCTATCACGACACCTTCTCACTCACCTCAACCACCAAATCGCCTATCTCCGCAACGCTCGACCTCTTAGCATGAGTCAAGGCAACGCAATACGATGGCTTAAGAACCTTGTTTCTACTCAATCCGTCGATCTGACTGACAGCGAAGCCAAGCAGGACCTATGTCAAGCTATCGACATCTTCATTCGAGAGAGAATCACACTCGCCGACGAAGTCATTGCACGCGAAGCCACCGCCCGCATCAATGATCGAGATGTCATTCTCACCTATGCCAAGTCTTCAATTGTCGAAAAGGCACTTCTTACTGCTCACGAGCAGGGCAAGGACTTCAAAGTCATTGTCGTTGACTCCAGACCAATGTTTGAAGGCAAAAACCTGGCGAGACGTCTCGTCCGCGCTGGCCTAAGAGTGCAATATGCCCTTTTGTCAGCGGTCGCCGATATTGTTGATTTCGAGTCCGTCACCAAATGTTTCCTTGGGGCCAGTTCTATGCTAGGCAATGGAAGTCTCTTCTCTAGGGCTGGGAGTGCGATTGTGGCCATGATGGCCAAGGAAAGTTCAAAGAACAAGGCTCGAAATGTTCCAGTCATTGTCCTCTGCGAAACGGTCAAGTTCAGCGCAAAAGCTGCTTTGGATAGCGTGGTCATGAACGAGATTGGAGATCCGGACGCCTTGGTTGACACTGTACAACCGGATACCATCTCCTACACTGGGCCACCACCCACGACTGCGTCTACAGGGGCCAAGGGAGGGGCCAAGAAACAAAGTCACAGGGAGAAAGATGAAGACGACGCAGATGAGAAGGCATCAAATGGCAAAGGCCTTGAAAGCTGGAAAGAACAGCAGGGACTGTTCTTGCTCAACTTGATGTACGATGTCACGCCGCCTCAATTCTTGGATCTCGTCATCTGTGAGTTGGGTAGTCTGCCTCCTCAAGCTGTCCCAGTGGTCAATGGCGCCCAGGGAGATGATGCTGCGCTGGCCTAGTTCGAGATCACGGCTTTCAAGTATTCAACCCGTTCAGCTGTATGAGAAGAGGACACTCTTCGATATCAGAAAAGATTAGTCTTGGGGCTTTAAATCACGACTTGGGGCCCCTCTTGCGTGAGATTCAACCCTCCCCTACAATCCATCGTGCGAAACGGATGATTCTTCCGAAATGAAGTTCTGTCAGCCGAACCAACGATTAAACCAAATCGGTAATGTTTTTGAAATTTGTGATATCATTCGATTGCAGCCCGGTCTAATGACTCCGAAGGGTTGAAGAATTGTAATACCGGATCCAGGATGCACAGAGGCATTCGAGAATGTGTCGATTGCCAGCTTTGCGTTGCCTGTAGTCCTGCTTCCATTGCCTTGGTCCTTAGCATGTTACTGTCTCTCCATGACATATGCTCCGTTCAGCCCTTTACGAGAAAGTGACCATGCATTCCGTCTTCATCTCCCCGCCACGTACAACTCATGACACCATTGTGTCTCTCATCCCCGATTTCAATGAAAATACTTTTCAACAACTTTGTGAAGAGGCGCGAATTTATCGGTGCTATAAATCGTGACATAGGTCAGCTCACTGATCCAACTAATGGCCTTGAAACCAAATTGTGTGGTGGATGGTTTTGGGCACTTCCAAGTGACTCTTCTTGGCCGTTTGAAAGACGCCCGAACCCAACCAGTTTCACAATCCTCAATTTCCAACGTACCTTGATGAATCCAATATCCTGGCTCTTTTCACGGAAGCACTGACGGCAGATGTTGAGGCCGTACTTGCGGATCAGACCAGCGGGATGTGTGCAGACACGGCTATATTTTTTGACAATCTGTCAGTGACTGGGCATGAAAGAATTTCCATTGGTCCTGTTCTCTTGAGTTCCTCTCGCCTGATTCTACTGATTCTTGGATTCGAGGACAGTCGATCGGAGGGATCCAGGGTATGAATCGATGGGTGGGTATAGTAAATGACATACCATGATCGCGAGCCCTTGCCGTAGGTTCGTGGGCGCGAATACCAGACGCTCTCGTGAGACATGTTGTAAGATGTGGAGGGTGTGAGAAGATGGGAGTTTCTGTTTGATCGGCGTTGGTCAGTTGACTTCGCAAGGTAATGAAATTTTAGGTGTCGATGAGGAAGAAATAACCAGTGGGGTGTGAATAAGGCCCAGCGTAGGAAGCGTACCTTCTTGATGAGAGCGAGATGTGCGTGTGGTGCGAATTGACGATACGATCTGAAATCTTCTTTCTTCCTGCGACCGAATCTCGAATACAGAGAGATTTCGGATTGTGGGTTGATCTGCCAAGACAATCAATCACACGTGATTTCAATCCACAATGCCCGATAGCCGCCAAGGCTGGTCAACTTTCCAAATTCGGGTCTTGGGTCAGGAGGCTGCACTAGTCCTAACTTGTCAGTCGGCTTATAGCAGCCACTACTCGTGGTCTATGACCAAACTCGAATTCCGATTCATGGGCGGCTACAACCTGAACCACCGAGACCCCATCACAGAACCGATATCTTTGCCTCGGACGCAGAGTATCGGACTATCGGAGCTGTCAAGGGAATGCGGGGCAGGGTACTTTTCAAATGCATCGCTAATGTGAAGACTAGCTTTAGTCACCCCTGATGACTGTACCTGAAATGAGCGGGAGAGACCCATTGGCGATGTAAGAAATGGCATATCACCACACATTCCAGCCCACTTGGATGGATAAGGGTCTCGCTTAGTATTCTGAACTCAATATGACTACCGCAATGCAGAACACAGTTTTCGTCTTGGTCCCTGGATCATTCTCGCCATCATCGCTTTATGATAGAACGATACCATTACTAGAAGCAAAGGGCTACGCTACTTACCCGACAGACCTCAAGTCAGCGAATGATGGAACAGGATCTGTCGTCTCAATGTATGATGATGCAGAAGAGATAAACAAGATCATCAACAAACTCGCAGACGAAGGGAAAGACGTAATCCTGGTCTGCAACTCATACGGCGGCATCCCTTCAACCGAAGGGACCAAGGGCACGAGCAGAGCAGAAAGAATGGCATCTGGGAGAGCTGGAGGCTTGATTGGGATCGTCTACCTTTCTGCCTTCGTTGCGCGAATAGGCCAATGCGTGCGGGATATCATGGGTGCTCGCATGCCTGAGCAGGAGGTTTCTTCTAATGGGTACATGAGCATGGATCCTGAGACGGCCGTCAACTTCATTTTTGCTCATCTCGGCCCTGAAGATAGGAAACTTTACGGACGACGGTTCAGAAACCACTGTGCTAGGACATTCAATGACGGCCTGACATACCCTGGCTATCTAAAAGTCCCGTCAACCTATGTGTTGTGCTCCGACGACCCAGTGATACCACCAGAACTTCAAAATGAGATGATCAAGTCCGCACTAGCTCAGGACGCTGAGATGGTAGTGCAAGAGATCAATTCAGATCACTGTCCGATGGTGACCCATCCAGAAGAAGTTGCGAAGATCCTCATCGCCGTTGCCGAAGGCGGTGGGAAGCACATGAACAAGACTCTGTTGACAGATTCAATTGAAACTGCTTAGTGTGCGGTGGAAAAGCCTTCTTGTCATTATGTGGTTTTATATTCAAGAATGAAACAAGTACACAATCTCGTGACCTTTCCAGTCCGGAGACATGTGAGGACATGACACAGAATCCTTATCTAGTGTGCTGTTTTACGAGTCCAGTTGCTAAGTTGTCGTTGGACCTTGTTGCTCCATATCTCCACCGCTCTTAATGTCTCGCAACCTCACTGCAACCTGATCCGTCATCTTGTCATCGAGATTTGGGAAGAATAGTGCTGCAATGGCATTGACAATCAGGAACGCAAGAGCCGTGTAAAACACACCACGAAAGGCAAATACCAATGCTTGCTGGTACGCTGCAGTGCCTGCTTCAACTACAGTGGGTGTAATTCCGACAACAGACGCGAAAGAGCCAGTTGCTATGGCCTCCAGAAAAGATGCCACAGACGATTCTGGCAGGCCAGCTTCAGTTATGGCTGGTACAACCTATGTTAAATTGTCAGTTTATGGCCAGAGTATGACTAATTTTATGGCAGATAAGCTCACCAGATCAGGTACAGCTTCAGCAAGTCGATTCTGCAACACCACTAGATAGATCGTTGTTGCGACGGTGGACCAGGCTGATCTCAGGGTGGTGGCAACGCCGACAGCCGTACCAATTTCTTCTTGGTTTTCGATTGCGATACCGGAAGTGGCGAGGCTCAATCCTTCGATGTAGCCTATAAACGTGGCACCGACGATCAGCAGCCCCAGGACGGTGGCCCTATTGTCAACGGTTGCACAAGCAATACCACCCAGCAAAGGTGTTGCCGCAACTGAGGTAGCGACAATCTGCCATTTTTGCTTTCCGATATACCTGCCCAAACCCGAGAGGGCCATTCCAAGAATGAAGCTGGCTGGCCCGGCACACGAAAGTAGGGAACCCCATCGAGTATCCGTGGTGTATAAGCCGAAGACCATCTGAGGGAAGATGATCGAGAATCCGTAGTAACAGGATGCGGCCACTGACATGACCACAATGCTCATTACCCATCCTAGTACTCGTCAAAGCTGCAAATTTTCTCATCTGCGTTTCAAACATAGTACTCACCTGTGTTTCTGAACAAGTGCAGAGGTATCAGAGGCTCCTTCAACTGAGCGAAGAATTCGTAAACGACGAATGCCAAAAGAACACATCCACCACACACGATGAAGGCAACAACTTCAGCACTCCTCCAGGGATGGACGGTACCACCCCAAGAGAGGCCAATCAAGAATATTAGAAGCCCACCAGTGAATAAGAAGAGACCAATCCAGTCGAAGGATTTGATGAGCTCCATGCGCGATTGTGTGTTCTTCATTTTGAAGTTGGGCGGCTAAAAGAAATCTTGTTAGTATTTCTCGGAAGACACAACTTCCCCCACTTAAGGGTCATCTTACGTAGTAGAACAACAGGTATCCAATCACTGAGATCCCATTTGTGATGGTCATCAGATAGTAGCACCATCTCCATCCTGCTGAGGTGTGCAAGACAAATGCCCAAGCAACTGCTGGACCAAAGGCCACGCAAGGAATCATCCACAAGAACATCAGACCCAGAAGTAAATACCTGTGTTTCATCGGCACAAGCTCTCCAAGGATATATGCAACCGAAGAAGGTGCACATGCACCTAGGCCGACCAGAACGTTCGCTCCAATAAGCATGTTGATTGAGGTTGCTTGAGAAGATATGATGGTTCCGACCGTCATCATGGCCGTACCTCCAACGATGAAGTATCGTCGCCCAAATATATCACTCACCCGGCCGACAAGAGTAAATCCGACCGACAACATCAGAGTGTTCACGAGACCGATCCAGAAATAGTTGGGGTCGGGTCCAATGTCATTGTTTATCACACCCAAGACAGAGGCTGGTAGGGCAAAAGCTCCACTCGCCTGCGTAAAGAATAGTCAGATTGCTGCTCAAGGGAAGCGGACGAGACCTAGTTGACTTACCCCGATCATGCCAAACCCAGCTGCGATGATTGTCCCTATGAATCGAACACTACTGAGCTTGACTTCATCCTGCTCTGGAAGGACTTCTTCGGAATCATGCCTCAAGGTATCCAAATGCTCCAAGTTCTTTTCCTCAATTTTCGGATCCATCAGATCGGTTGATCGCGATGTGAGACGATACAAAATGGCGGGATCCCACTATTCTAGATTGCTAGTTTGAGCGGTTGAATCTGAAATATCTCTCTTTCCCGCTGCCTGGGGGCAGGTCTGCTCTTGTATAAAAGTACGATCTCCGCTCCGCCACTTCTCTCTGGTTCCCCAGATGGCCAAGTTTATGGGGTGAAGAAGGGTAAATCAGGGGCGGACGGGCCTAATTCTCTTGACTAAGCGCTCAATACGTAACATTCTATATCCACTTTATTAGCAAGCTCGGATACTATGGAGCATTTGCCGAGGTCTAGACCGTTTCAATGCACCCAGAGCGTGATCATGCCAGTGTTTCTCAAGTTACTGCTTGTCATTTTGCCCATAGGAGTTCAGCATATTTGATGCCTCTGCACAATTGCCCCTTATCTTACTGCCTGTGAGGTCCTTAAACGGGCTCTCGATCCAACGGAAACATATTCATCGCATTCCGTAGAATGCCGATATGTTCATCTAGCTATTCAACAGAAGGCGTTTCTAGCAGTACGGAAAATGAAGTGACTAATGACAGCCCGACTCTAGTCAGAAACCACTCACGCCCTCCCCCAGCTTAACCTCCAAAGGATTCGTGACCGCAACTTTAGAAAACTCATCCTCAAGATATGCCGTCATGTTGTTTCCTTCCAACTGTGCAGTGCAATAGCCATTCCCAAGCCATCCGAAGGGATTCCCTTTGAGTTCTTCTTTCACCTCATACTCGTAGTCCTCCCATCGTGGGTTGGCAAGACAATAGATACCGTGCAAGGCAGAGCCTGGCCATAGCGCTAGAAGTCGTCCATTGGTGTTGTGCCTCCACCATGCCCTACACTATATCCAGAAAAAATTGGTCAGTCGGGTCAAGAGACCTAAACTATACAACATGTCTCACGTACATTCGAGTTAAAGACTGTCGGCTCAAGAAACTCATCAGTATGCTTGCCGAACAGCTTTACAGCATCAGACCTGTAAATGTAAGCCTTGATCACGAACAGTACCTTCAGACTACTCCGGTCGAGGATCAACTTACTTTGGAGTCATAGAGCTAATCCACTCTCGCTGCAACTTTTGTACGCATTTGATCATATAGCGGGCTCCGTTTTCGAGGAAAGGCACCGTTGATCCAATTCCAGGACCTCCATTTGGTCCAAGAAAGATGAAGTAGTTTGGCATGTTCGCTGGCGCCAATCCCATGTAGCTCTCAGGGATGTCTTTCTCCCATTGATCTTGCAAATTAATACCCTTCTTGCCAAAAATCGGGAAATGCTGTTTGTAGCTTTGACAGTAATGAGCATTGGTAATCAGTCGAAAGCGAAAGGAATACATACCCTGCAAATCCGGTAGCGCAAATGATCGCATCAACCTCACGCAAAATCCCGTCATCGGTGATTATACCTGTCTCAGTGACTTCTTTGATAGTCTGAGGAATGAAGTTGACATCATCCCTCACGAGTGCTTCTAGATACTAAATCATTGTAAGCGTGCCATATAGTTTGCCACCATATTCACACTTACTCCGGGCCCTGGTGTGAGTCGTCGGCAAGCTGGAGCGAAGTCAGGTTTCAAAGCCTCGAAAACTTCAGGTTTCTTCAGCAGCTTGTTCCTCATATGATCCTCGCACAGTTTTTGAAATGCCAGCGCATTTTCCGTATCCTTGTATAGAACATCGGATGCAGCATGTAGATAACTCTCAATTTCATGGCGATATTTGAGGTAGACTTTGGAATCTTTCCAAGCTTCAAGCTCTTCGGCGGGAGTTTTGGCTGCTCATGGTATCAGCTTCGATAATGCACATAAGAGTCAGAGACTTACCCTCGCCATTCCTATCAAGCACGCCCTGGGCTCCCATGCCAAATGGTGGAATCCATGTTTTCCCTTTCATATAGTGGTCCACGTGTTTTGCTACAGGGGCAATTTGTGGCAACATCTGTATTCCACTAGATCCACCGCCGATGAGAGCTATACGTTTGTCCATTGGGTCGAAGCTCGTGTCATAGTTTGCACTGTGCATTAAGGGACCCTTGAAGCTCTTGAGACCATCTATCTTGGGCCATTCCCATTTATTCAGAGGACCAACCGCCGAAAGGAGAACATCACAAGTATCCACAACGATCTAATTCTCAGGCGTTAGCAGCAACCAAATCTTTGCTGGTGACAACAAGCAGTACCTCATTGGTGTCAAGTTTCTTGAATGTTACATGCCATTTTGCCTCTGACTCGGCCCATTCAGCCTTCTCGCAGAAATGACGAAACTTCATATACTTGTCCGCTCCGTATTTAATGGCTGTGTGTTTCAGGTAGGCCTGGATTTCCGGTCCACTGGCCCAGTATCGACTCCACTGAGTGTTGTTCTCAAACGTGAACTGATAGGCATGGCTAGGAACGTCGCATGCGACCCCGGGGTATCTTTAATAACGTGAGCAGAACGAAGCATTTCCAGAACAAGAGGTGTTACCTTGACTCATACCATGTACCTCCCAGCTCCTCGTTCTTCTCATAGATCACCAGATCTAAGTTCTCGACAGCTCTCGGAAACAGAATACCAGTTATAATGCCTGACATCCCGGCGCCAACGCAGATGACCTTCATCCGACGCAGATTATCCACCGCCCGTCGCTTCAAGTTTCCGGGGTCCTTCTTATCAAAGTCATACGGCGCGATGCTTTTAGGTGCCCCATTGGAGGCTTTATTTGGCGCAAACATTTTGAGTCAATGTGGGAAGTGTACATGCACTACAGCGCTGCAACAAGTCTTTTGACGCGAGAACGTTAATGCTCATGCAATCAGGAAAAACCATCCCGCTCTATGGCAGGTCTTCTTTTGAGGTATCATTGATTGCAAGGCACCGTCTTCGATCATACTGGCTCGACATCGGCAGTGATGACAAGCAATCCATGACACAAACAGATGTGCTTAGTGTTGTGACGACTATCCTCTGTACCTCATGTGTATGTGTCTGATGACTGTGACATTGCTATATGTTTTGATTTTGGGCCCTCAGAGAATTACCGTCTCGGATCGCACTAGGATCATAGATGATTACCGCAGCCAATAGAACATCATCCTTCGTCCCCTCCACATGTTCTGACAATGAGGCATTGGCACATCTCCTTTGCGATTTGGTGGCTTTCAGGCCCGTGGACCCCAGATTTTGTGCCCCATGTCTCCAACTCCAGAAGCGGACCCTAGTCAATTTTTAGTCTCCCCAAGCATGTTGACTGTGCAGGAACACGTAACATCGCCAAATCATAAAGTGAGGTCAAGAACTCCACACGTCACGGAGTCGAATCGCGTTGAGACTTCTCTCGTTGTGAAATAGCTGGCTCCACTGGGCACACTAGCGATTCCGCTCTCACATCCCCAAGCTTGAACATTGAATGAGTCTTGTAACAAACTGTCCAGCCCGAAAGACATTGTGGCATTCATGTCAAGAAGCACGAATTACTCGTGCCACGAAGAAGTGCTCGGTCGCAATTCAAAGCTACCAGACTTATCCCGTTCGACCAGGGCTGGACGATTCAGAAACCCTATTATCCTAGTCCATGCACGCTACATACACCCATAACCTCGGATCTAGTTAAAGTTGTCCCTGCAAGGGATTATGGTTAGGCCCTCGGGCCGCTAAGGCGTCCCCAGATGCTCTCCAGACATTGTTCTGCAGGCCAGGACTCTAACCCCACGACTTCGCCCGGGGTTGAGTCTTCTGTCAGATAATCCACATTCCCTTGTCTTGTGATTCCCCCATCCATCCAACTCCACAAAGTAATAGCATTGTCAATGTTGCTTTCAAGATGTTGAAAGAAGTGCCGGCTGTGAAAGGAGACGAGATTCGGTGAGTCCGATTAGAACTACCCACTTGAACAAATATCCCATTGCCATCCATACCTTTCTAGTGTCTACCGTGTTTCCACTAATGCAAAGATCTAAGGCGCAAGCGTAATCGGGACTCGCAGAGACACTTCCGTGAAAGGAGAAATCGTCACTTGAAAGAGCTCGAAGATCGCATAGCTACGTTCTCCAAGAGCGAAAGCGAACGCAATGCTAGATTGATTGCCGAAAACAATGAACTTAGGAATTCACTGTCGCGGGCTAGGTCGCACAGCATGAGCCTGAAGTCGATCTTGAATGAGCTTCTAAAGGCCGTGAATGATGGATCTGACACAATTTGCCCTCCTCCGCGGAGGAAGGATCCCGAAAATGCAGCTGATGAAGACTGTAACTCTCCTGTCAGTCAAAATAGTTGTCCGGGATCTTGTTTTAATACTAACGCAGAGCCATCACAGTCTACCTCGGATGTAAATTGGCCATCGACCGAATTTCAAGAATTCCCATCACTGGAGGAGGCTGACAAGCCGCTGAACCCTGGCACAGAGCACTCAGAACCCGTTCTCGAGCAAGCGCCGGTGGGAGGCAGTCAAGACAGTTGGCCTGACTTAGGGATGGACAATCTACTGTCGCATACGCAAGAAGATAAAGAAAAGTTGGGCACATTGGATGGTAAATGATTCCATCCATCATTTTTGACCAAGCTGACATGTTCGACGGCACTAGATCCACCGATGCCTCTTGATTTAGGAGCTTCCCCCGCAACCAATGCCCTCTTTATGGACTTTTTTGGTTGTCACACATCTTTCCTAGCTGCAGCACCCCATCATATGTCTTCAAAAATCAGTGCCGGACTTTTCAGCGACGCCGTCCTACAGATCACTTTCGAGCCACAAGACTCTCAACTCCTCCAAACTCTCTTCCTCTTGCTGAACCAAGAGTTCATCACGAAAGCGCATGAGCCTATGTCGAGACAGATTGATGGCATGCTGAATTTGATGGAAGAGTACCTCAAACTTACTGGAGGTATCAACAACGAAAAGATGTAGGTTCAGCACTAACGAAATTCTATCGTTGAACCCTCGAGTTGACTGAGACCCTTCGCTTTAGCGTTCGACGAGTTTCTTTGGCCTCAATGATGATATTTGCCAAGTACGCCTCACCGATGCCTGCAGTCATGTGGTTCGGCTCGACCTGCTACACGATGGTCGAGAGGCTGATTAGTTGGAGGCTCAAGCGTGCTTTTCAAGTGTTTCAGCCCCTGCCCTACAACTATGAGCAGTCCGAGTTGTCGCTCAATACGCCACACTCCAGCGTCGTTGATTGGTTTGCATACAAAGGCCTAAGAGATCAGATCATCCAGCACTTCAACGACAGCGCAAAGATTGATCAGATCTTTATCGAGATCATGGAACATGCTGTGGTAGAAGTTCCTGACATCTCCCAAATCTTGACATCCGTTGAAGCAGGCCCTGGCTACCTCGGTGTCTGGAATTTGTTCAATGCCATGACAGGGGGTGCGACTAGAGCCAGCATTCAGGCCATTTGCACTGCCAATTCCCTAGAGCTACACGACATATCATTGGCAGGTTTATATCAGATGCACCTAATGACATCGCCAGACACATCGGCAGTCGGTCGCCACACCAGTCAAGGGAAAGGGTTCTGGACTCCAGTGCCATTGTCGACACTCCTTCGATCATCAGAGCTCTCGCGACGACTCTACCACTACCTCGAGGTCTATGATTCTCACAAATGCTGGAAAACTGATCCTGCCATCTATCTAAAGTATCCCCAGCTACGGTGGGACGGGTACGAAGCCACCTTAGCCTCAGGCAGAGGTTTCCGCGTATCTTCGGGCTGGATCATGTCTCCCCACGCCGCCACCCCATATCCTAGTGCTGGTTTCAATGCTACTTGAGATCTACTCGATATCAGGGATCAGTTGTATATATATTCATAGACATTTGAGGTATACGCACCCATTACAGCTGGCGCAGGGAATAATGATCAATACATTTGTACAAAAAGAATCTCAAATTTGATTTTGTTATAAGGGTCATGGCAAAGGCGTCTCGATACTCTTTGTCAAGACTTCCAATTCAGTAATTTGGATAGCCTCCATTGACTGGCAACACTTGGCCGGTGATGTAAGATGCCTTATCGCTGAGAAGGAAAATGATGGCGTTAGCCAATTCTGTTGGATCTGCCATTCTTGCCATAGGGACAGGTGCCATGCCTCGTTCGGTGTTGTTGGCTCGAGGACCATTGACATTGTCCTGTGCTCGAGCCAAAGGGGTATCGACACCACCAGGCGCAACCACATTAATCCTGACGCCAAATTGCGCATAATCGATGGCCCAAGAGCGTGACATGCCCAGCACGGCGTGTTTGCTGGTTACGTATGCACTTAAGGCTGAATAGCCTTGCAGAGAGGCGCTGGAGCCGATGTTGACGACCGCGTACTGACCCTCTGGTGCACGAGCACCTGCAGATAGGGGTGTTCTGGCCTCGATGTATCGTAAAAACTCTGAGCCCATATACCAGGTTCCGTGCTGATTTACGCCCACAGTGGCGAGATAGTCCTCGTCCGTCTCAAGGTATGCACCGGAATTTGGAGCGATTCCCGCGCAATTAACCAAGCCATAGATATTGATTTCTTTCTCCTTAATCTTCTGGAAAACCTCTTTCACTGCTGACCTGGAGCTGATATCGACATCGCCATGGAACGTAAATGCTGGAGACTTGACATCGGCGAGGACCTTGGCTGCTCGATCGATCCCATGTACTACTGCACCAAGTTCTAATAGTCTTTGGGCCGTTGCGAGGCCGATGCCTGATGCTGCGCCGGTAAGAATAATAACTTTTGCTTCAAAAAATGCTGCCATGTTGGAAAGATTCTTGGTACAGGCTTACAGTGGAATGACTGGCTCGTGTACCGCTGGACAAGCTCGTTGGATATATGTTGAAACGTTCTGGAACTCCGCCAGAAATCAATACATGCTGGCAAATCGACCCATTAACCAGCCTCGGTTCTACGCCTCATGACCGTTTCAACAGGTAGTCACCATAGAGAACAGATCGTGTTTTTCTTGCCCCGGATTAAACCAGTATTTGTCGTTGTCACGGTGTGTCACCCGCCGTTAGTCAGTGCCCACATGGACCTGGTCATTATCTCGGAGGACTTGTGACCTGTGGAGTAAATTAAAGTGTTCATTTGATGGACCTTCCTGCTAACGAGTCGTCTTCGAAGATTCATGCTTGAACCCCACAACTTTCCAGCGTTATCAGCTCTTCTTTTATCAAGAGTGGACCCGGCATCGTGAAGAATTTATACACGGTTAAGGCTGACAAATTGCCAAGCCATAGTGCTAGCTATGCAACCAACCCACGACTATACCAAAAGTCCACTGCCCACCAGCTTGATGATAAATTGTTTGGAAGCAAGGTTTCTGGAAACTCGTAACCATACTAAGACGCCTCCGTAGAGATGGCAGAAGTGCAGATTGCGATTGCCGGCATCAGCAGCAAACTTGCTCTCAAAGTTGCAGCAGAGTGTTTGAAGGATACAAATATCAGGCTTCGAGGCTCATGCCGCAGTGTAGCCAAATTACCTGCATTTTTGACGCAGTCACCGCAAGTTACTCTGATCGAAAGCGGGGCTTATGATCAAGACTCTTTAAGATCACTTGTCACTGGCTGCAGTGTGGTGGTATGTTGCTATTATGCAGACAATAAGACAATGGTGGAGGGCCAGAAGCTCCTGATCGATATCTGTGAGGAGCAAGGGGTGGCTCGTTTCCTGGCCAGTGATTATACTGCGGACTACACGAAGCTGGATTGTGGAGACATTGTTCTCAAAGATCCGATGAAGGAAA